CCATGGTACAGACGTGGCCGAGGCTTTGTCTGTACACTTTTCCCCCGATTGTTCTGCTCCCGGGAGTTCTGGAGAGAGTGCGCTGGAACGAGGTCAGTCGACTGCCAGTAGCCCCGTTCTGGTTGGGCCGAGTATGGTTCTCGGACCTGATTCCTCTCCTCGGCGGCGTTCCATAGGAGATTTCCATCAGGAGTGATCTCCTCTCACAGGCGGAGGGCACGCCCCCGCCCGGAGCTGTGGAAGCTGTGGGTGTGGCCTCTGAGGAGACACAACTCATAGCTTCTGGTCTCTCAACCGAGGTTGCTGAGCCCATCCTCCATCCAGAGCTCCCTCTATGAGGAAACTGTACTTCTTGGTGCGGAGACCGCCAGCTCGACCCAGCTAACTGCCCATTTGGTACAGTTCTGGAGTTCCTGCAGGCCTGTTTATCCGCAGGGTTGACCCACACCACCCTAGAGGTCTTCGTGGCAGCCATTGCGGCCTACCACACCCCTCTCGGTGGCCATTCAGTGGGAAGACACCCTCTTCTTAAAAGTTTCCTCCGCGATGCGCTGAGGCCGAGGCCTCCGGCCAGAGAAGATTATGTTAGGTGGTGGATCAGGATGCTATTCCATAGCCTTGAGCCCTCTGATCTCCCCTCTCCTTCGGGGGTCAAGGCTCACTCCTCCAGAAGTTGGCCTTCGGGACGGCAGGCCCCACCTACTTTTGCCATTCCTGGCTCCCTTTTCTCTCGCCTCAGTTGTGCTCTTCCACACTAGGCAGGGATTTGCAAGTCTGGCGGCGTGGGCATTCTCGTTCCTTTCGCAGGAAATACAAGCATGCTGCCGTTCTTCTTTGCATCATTGTGTCATGTCTGTAAACATAAAGAAGTTGTCCCAGCTAGTAGGCTATATTGCACGTGAGGATGCTATAGACTTTTCTCACAGCAGCTGGAATAATTAAATTTATCATTTTGATGGCGGATTGTAATCCAGAAAGATTCATACGACAATCATCAGTGACAACTGGAGATTCACCCGTAGTCACCAGTAGTTTACAGAGAACCTAATACACACTAAATACACATAGTCACATAATGCTGATGAAGGTAAGAATAACATTTTGAGAACAGAGTATAACAGTAATAATAGTTTGCATGGTTTGATGTGATATGAGCTAAGCGATTTAATCGCCATTGGTAGCATGATTTATTGTAATGATTTTTTCCTCAGTTGGTAAGAACAAAAGTGGCAGACATGTTACTTACTCATTCAGATGTCAATATCTGGTGAAAATTCTTATTTGGGTCATACTTCCAAGACGTAGAATCTGTGATTCCTAAATACAGGATCCACACCGTTGTGGTGACTGACAGCCACACATTAGATTCATCGGCACTGGAGCCGTGCCGGCGCACAACCCACGTAAATAAGATAATTCTGCCAAAAAAATGCAATTGCAGGTTTCAAACACAGATGGCGACAAAGAGGCGAAACTTATGGACTGCAGCTTTAAATATGTAAATGCATATGTTTTAATATGAAAAAGCTGTGTATTCAAGTGTGATGTCATTAATGTCAATTTATGAAGGGACTTGTCCAGTTTTCTGAATGAATGAAGCATCAGGTTGAGACTCTAGTAGTGATTGTGGTGGCTCACTGTGATTGGTCTGTCCCGATCAGAGTGGTTCCCAGAGGGCCGCAGCAGCAGAATCCTGCAGGATCTTGACAACACATCTGTCATGGAGGACGGCAGAAAAAAACTCAACACCGTCTTCCACTATCAGGTGTGTGTGTGTGTGTGTGTGTGTGTGCAAACTATCGGAAATTATGTTTTATTAACAAGGTTCGGGAGGAGCACGTCAGATACTTAGCCTAATTAACACAGGTGGAGCAAACTCAAGTTAATCAACACCATGGTATAAATACAGCTGACTTACCTCTATCCACTGATGGTTTATCAGCATTCGGTTTGCATCTTTTGCCATTATATCTCAGATCAACTTCTCTCATCCAAACGACGAGACCTATACTGGGAATTTTTTCGGACAAAATTCTATTTTGTCGTGCTCTTAACTTTCGGATGCAAAGCAGCACCAAGATTTTCTGACGTGTTATCAGAAGCAGCTTATTGGATTCGTCAAACAATTACACAAAGTAATCCTCATAGCATCTACCCTTTTAGACAACTCAAATTGTTCTGAGCATTGAATTCCCTGTCAGATGCTGCAAGAGCGCTCCCGGTGGAGCAAATATGTTTCTCTGTCAACTACCGGCGAGGCTCACCCATCTGATGCTGTGAGTTTTGAATTCCCGTCACATGCTGCGAGAGCCTCCCGGTTGAGAAAACCTTGCCTTTCCGCCTACTCTTCCAATGTATAAGTCGTTCCCACCGGAGTTCGTAGGCTCTTCCCTGGAGACTTCTCAAACATCAGCCCCCGCCAGATCTCAGTGCTTTTTTTTTGGGGGGGGGGGGGGGGGGGCAATTTTTATTCTCTAGTTTCTTAGAAAAGAGCTTTGAGGAACCTAAAAGGAAACAAAATGATCCGAAGAATTTATATCAAAAGAATGTGAATCTCCAAAGTAGCATATAGCCAACTTGTGGTTAAGCTGCTGAATGCTGTAGGTGTTGCAAAGAACATGTTAAGGACCTTTATTTTGTTTAATTTTATGTTTATGTTTTTATTTCCCTAAATGGATTTATGGATTTGATGGACTGCTTTGATAAGTCATACACTCTTCAAAATAAAAGGATTTTTCTCAGCAGTGCCATAGAAGAACCATTTTTGGGATCCTCAAAGAACCTTTCAGTGAACAGTTCTTAAAAGAATAGTCTGGCGGCTGTCCTTTGTTCAATTGCTTTTTGGCGGGGTACTCTAGGTTCGGGCCATTCCAGAGCTCAGAGCCCTTCCCCGGACAGCACGCCAAATATACATTACCATACTTCAGCTAATTAGTGAACTCGTGAAATTATGTTTTATTAACAAGGTTCGGGAGGAGCGCGTCAGATACTTAGCCTAATTAACACAGGTGGAGCAAACTCAGGTTAACCCTCTAAGCGCCAAAGTCGCAAAATTGCGACAAGACGTCATACTTAATAAAATAGACTGTAGTTCTTAATATGGTGTAATATCTCATTTGTATTCGCTACCACTAGATGGCAGACATGTGATGTAACCAAAATTACGTCACATTCCTATTCGAAGTGTTCGAGGAAAGAGCAGAGCAAGGGCGCTATCGTGTCATTGATGCAGGAGCAGTTCAGTTCAGAGCGTGCGAGTAAATTGTGAGATTTGTGAGAGAAAATCGCCAAATGGCTAATAAAAAGTTGTACCGTGAGGATGTGTTGCAAATGTTATTAGCAGATTCTGACTCTGAGGGGGAATATTTGCCTTTTGGAAATGACGATCGGACGTCTAATAATCACGCTTCTTCCGGTACATCTTTGCAGCACAATGGTGCCGCCGTGCAAGGCGAGTGTGTTCACGAAGCACAAACAAGTGATCATTTCGACCCTTTGCCCAACGGGGATGGGGGTGGCAGGGCAGTGTCTATTATTTCCTGAATATTACTGATGAACTGATCAAAAAGTAAGCTACTGTTCACATGCGTGTACTATATAGTATAGTAATATAGTAATAATTTAGTACTTTCTCCTGTTTTATTGTTGGTTTCCTCTTTTCTGATCATTTGGAATGAGGATAAAAAGACAAAAAAAAAAACATGCAAATAAGTTCAAACATCAATTCAATATCTACTATTTCCTGAATATTATGAAATTCAAGATGGCCGCCCCCGATGACGTCATAATATGCAAATTAGATGAGTATATTTACATCTAATTTGTAATTGGGGGGGGCACTTTAGGTTTGGGCCATTCCCGAGCTCAGAGCATTTCCCCGGACAGCATGCCAAATATGCATTACCATACTTCAGCTAATTATATGTAAGCGTTAATTCCTGAAATGGGATTTCCGCAGAATTTGATAACCTACTTCTCTGTTTTACCCCTTCTCTGTTTGTTTGATTAATAATTTGTCTAAATTGATAATGCCTTTAGCTGCCATGACTCTTGAGACAATTGTATCGCATTTTGACCATATTTAAGTCCATTACACTGAATTCAGCAGATTTTTCCCCAAATTAGTGCAGAATTAGTGCTAGAAACTGGCTAATTCACACAGAGCCAACATGGAATCCATGGACAAACACATTCAGGCCCATATTGAAATGCCATGAAATGCTGGTGGTGTGACCCAGAGAATAGCTCTGTGCACATCACCCTAATGACCTCTGACCTGTCTCTTGCAGATCCCAGATGGAGCATCACTGGCCATGAGCATGAAGGACAAGAGAGAGAACACACTGGGCCGAGGTGAGGATCACACGACCTCTCATACACACCATATCCTACAAACTCAGTTACAATCAACTTTTGTTCTGTTGATTCACAGTGAAAGATCTGGACACAGAGAAATATGTTCATCTGGTGAGTGCGTTGACGTCTCTCTCACACTAGAGTTTTCACATGTGTTCGGTCATCATCTGTGCCATACTGATAATCAAGAGTCATATTTGATCAGTGATCTTGATTGCTCAAACTAGCTGTTGTAAGCAGATTTTATCATGGTCACGATTCACATAATCCAGCAGTTCTTCACTGGGCTTATACAGTAATGGGAGTTAGTCTTATAAAGCATCTCTCATAAACTCTGGTCAAACACTCTCTCTAGACAAAGACTAGACAAAGATCGTCAGACCCTTCAAACCCAAATGACAGAAAATCCGACCAATCACATCTCTCATTTGCACTGTTAGGTTTGGCCTTCAGTTTCACAACTTCACAGCTGAGGAAAAAAAAATAGGTTACGTAATTGCCATGATAAAACATTTTTTGGCAACGCAACAGAGAATGATCTGAAAGGTGATATCAGTTGGCTCTCTCAAACAGTGTTCATGGGAAACGATTAATAACAGGCCTAAAGCACTGATTGAATTAGAAAATAGCATGTGAGGAATTACAGCAAAACACTTCCCAGAACTGTGAACAGAAGAGCAGTTACAGCTTAGGTCACTTAAGTCAGACTGTGTTACACTGATAGTAGCAGTGGATATACGTAATCACTCTGAGCTGGTGGATTGATGATTTCTGGGTAACGGCTCGATGCTGTGGTTTACCTGCAGGTGCTGCCACACGACGAGCTGACAGAGAGCAGGAAGTCCCACAGACACAATCACAGGAAGAAGGTGTTACCTGAGATCTACCTGACGCGCCTGCTCTCCACTAAGGTAATGCTTGACTCTGCTGTCTGTGCGATGCTCTGCAGATACAAACAGTCACAAGATTATAGAGCAATAACAATAAGCATCAGTGCAGAATACCCTACTGACCTTCTAAAGACTCGGAGGGTGGAGAAATGAGAAAAGGTTACTTTCACAATTCAGAGCCTCTTCTCCAGTCCACACGCAGCACTCGATGAAACCATAACATCCACTCAAAATGAGCTTTACTGCCAAATACACGGCAAACAGAAGCTTCCAGAATATAACAACAAGACACAAGCTATATTTCCATCCAAAGATTCAAATTAAACATGCTCAAAACTGGAATATCTCATAAAACATTTGGGAATAAAGCACTGTTTCCATCCAATGAGTCAAAGAGAACAAAATCGTCACTTCCTGATAAACTGGCACTAAAAATCCCTAAGAAAACTAGGAGAAGCCTCTGAATATAATAATTTTCATATATGATAAATGACTTGCGCCTCAGAGCGAGCAGACATAACACAAAAAATGCTGTCAGTGCTTTCGGCGGTGTAAGACAATTATACAGAAATACTTTGACGACAGATTTAGCTCAGACCTTTCAGAATGACCATAACAACATATAGATGCTGTGAACGAGATCGGTCCGCTGCTAGTCAAGTTATCCCGTCTCATAGCGCAAAGTCACATGACTTTTTCGATGCGCATGGAGGAATTTATTCGGCAAATGTGTTTCCATCATAGTTTATGCACATTTTTTCTTATCTGATAAAAAGTTTATCCTACTCAAATTCAAAATTTTTAGAATTTATGCGCATCTTGGCGTTTCCATCCAGCGTTTTTTATGCGATATTCCAAAATGTGCATAAAAATAGATGGATGGAAACATAGCTACAGACAATAGAGGTAAAATAAAAAAATATGATAAAGGATAAAAAGGTCAAACAAAAATAGAGTACACTGCTATATCTGGATATATGGTTCTGTGCAGAAGTCTGAAGCAGGAACACAGGCTTAATTTAGTGCAGAAGCTGACCCATGTCTACAGATAGATTCTTGTGCAAGTCTCTGGTCTGTCCAGATGCAGCAGGATATAACGCAATCTCTACTGCATCACCCACCGGACCCAGCATTTGCTCAATCCGGCAGGGTCCTTCAGGGCCACCACAAACATGAGCTCATCAACACACCACATGAATCAAAGGGACAGTAGATGTTGGGAAAAGGTCATGAAGACAAATGATGATGGATTATGTGAATGTGTTTGTCTTGCACAGGGAACCCTGCAGAAGTTCCTGGACGATCTGTTTCAAGCCATCCTCAGCATTCCTCCAGAGAAACCACCGCTAGCTATCAAATACTTCTTTGACTTTCTAGAAGAACAGGCGGACAAGCGCGGCATAACCGACCCCGACACGTTACACATCTGGAAGACCAACAGGTATGGATTCACAGAACCATGAGGCGTTTTAAACTTCCTGCTGTCATTCTGCACAGTCCATGTTTCATGGAAATGTAATAACTTGCTCCGCCGTTGTCAATTAATTGCTGATCACTAAGGTCGCTTACTGTTCAAGTCCTTGCAACCAAATACTTGTCAGGCAGAGGCAGCTTTTACCATCCATTCAGATCCCTGTGGACGAAACAAGTCCCTGCAGCACATTGCAGAAGTTAAAGGGGTTTGCTGTTGACTACTGTGATCTACAGTGAGATTGATACGAGCTCTCGCTAAGGATCCTGAAGGAGAAAGAGCAGGAGCAGTGGATGAGTGTTAACTGTGATGTTCTCTGCATGTCTCTCTGCAGTTTGCCTCTGCGCTTCTGGGTCAATATCCTGAAGAACCCTCAGTTTGTGTTTGATATCGATAAGACGGATCACATGGACGCGTGTCTGTCTGTCATCGCTCAGGCTTTCATTGACGCCTGCTCACTCTCTGACCTGCAGCTGGGCAAAGTAAGAACACACACACTTCATAATTATTACTATGTGTGTCTATATGGCTGAAAGAATATAAACATGTTTCTCTCCATATATGGGTCCGCTGCTAGTCAAGTTATCCCGTCTCATAGCGCAAAGTCACATGACTTTTTCGATGCGCATGGAGGAATTTATTCGGCAAATGTGTTTCCATCATAGTTTATGCACATTTTTTCTTATCTGATAAAAAGTTTATCCTACTCAAATTCAAAATTTTTAGAATTTATGCGCATCTTGGCGTTTCCATCCAGCGTTTTTTATGCGATATTCCAAAATGTGCATAAAAATAGATGGATGGAAACATAGCTACAGACAATAGAGGTAAAATAAAAAAATATGATAAAGGATAAAAAGGTCAAACAAAAATAGAGTACACTGCTATATCTGGATATATGGTTCTGTGCAGAAGTCTGAAGCAGGAACACAGGCTTAATTTAGTGCAGAAGCTGACCCATGTCTACAGATAGATTCTTGTGCAAGTCTCTGGTCTGTCCAGATGCAGCAGGATATAACGCAATCTCTACTGCATCACCCACCGGACCCAGCATTTGCTCAATCCGGCAGGGTCCTTCAGGGCCACCACAAACATGAGCTCATCAACACACCACATGAATCAAAGGGACAGTAGATGTTGGGAAAAGGTCATGAAGACAAATGATGATGGATTATGTGAATGTGTTTGTCTTGCACAGGGAACCCTGCAGAAGTTCCTGGACGATCTGTTTCAAGCCATCCTCAGCATTCCTCCAGAGAAACCACCGCTAGCTATCAAATACTTCTTTGACTTTCTAGAAGAACAGGCGGACAAGCGCGGCATAACCGACCCCGACACGTTACACATCTGGAAGACCAACAGGTATGGATTCACAGAACCATGAGGCGTTTTAAACTTCCTGCTGTCATTCTGCACAGTCCATGTTTCATGGAAATGTAATAACTTGCTCCGCCGTTGTCAATTAATTGCTGATCACTAAGGTCGCTTACTGTTCAAGTCCTTGCAACCAAATACTTGTCAGGCAGAGGCAGCTTTTACCATCCATTCAGATCCCTGTGGACGAAACAAGTCCCTGCAGCACATTGCAGAAGTTAAAGGGGTTTGCTGTTGACTACTGTGATCTACAGTGAGATTGATACGAGCTCTCGCTAAGGATCCTGAAGGAGAAAGAGCAGGAGCAGTGGATGAGTGTTAACTGTGATGTTCTCTGCATGTCTCTCTGCAGTTTGCCTCTGCGCTTCTGGGTCAATATCCTGAAGAACCCTCAGTTTGTGTTTGATATCGATAAGACGGATCACATGGACGCGTGTCTGTCTGTCATCGCTCAGGCTTTCATTGACGCCTGCTCACTCTCTGACCTGCAGCTGGGCAAAGTAAGAACACACACACACATGTTGGGTTTCCATGTTTTATGGGTTCATTCCATAGGCGTGTTTTTTTCTACTGTACAAACTGTATTTTCTATCTTCTTTAACCCTACACCTAAACCTACCCCTCATACACAACTATATATGCACTCTTAGATTCTCAAAACACTTCATAATGTGTGATTCATAAGCTTCTGTCCTCATGGAGAACAAAAAATGTCCCCACATAGTCAATATCTACTGGTATTACTATCCATGTGATATTTGGTCCTCAGGAATGCCACTACACACACACACACACACACACACACAAGCATATCTCATAACAATTTCTATGTGTTTCTGTATGGCTGAACGAATATAAACATGTTTCTGTCCATATATGGAAATGGCAGCATTCATCACAGGAGCAGCTCTTCATGTGACATCAGAAGAGAAAAGTCAAGTGAACTCTTTAAATGAGCAGTGTGAGAGAATGAGGGAATGACCTTTGTGTTCAGATTCTCTCGTACTGTAGTTTCTGCCATTGATGTCTGAAGGTGTAGTCACCTTTGTGAGCAAAAACAGGTCCATTGTGTATTGTCAAGTATGAAGCACAGCTCACACAGAAGTCACTTTCAAACCAAGCAGCTATCTGGTGGTCAGCGCTACAAATTCATGTGACCAAACTGAAAATGAGCAAACCCTACATGGGGAGATTCCTATTGGAATGACTGGATAGCGCATGCAGAATTTTGCAGAGCAATGTGAGCGCATCTCAAGGATTAAACCAGACAAGAAGTAGAGAGGAGAAATGTAGAAAACAGGTCACATACATTTTCAGCTGTTCAAACCAGTGTGAATATGAACTAATGTGGTCTGAACCAAAAAAAAAAAGATTGCAGCAGGTTTGATTTGAATATATTTACTGATTATAGTTAAGCATGCAGATGGTAAATCCCTGGCTGAGTCTTGATCATTAATGACACACTATAATCTCTCCGATCACAAACAAAACACAAGAAATCAGTGGAGCAAATCATACAGCGTCGTACAGATTCTGCATCTGATCGATTGCTTTCTTTATTACAGGATTCTCCCACCAATAAGCTGCTGTATGCCAAAGAGATCCCGGAGTATAAGAAGAGAGTGCAGTGTTACTACAAGCAGATTCAAGAGATGGCGCCGCTGAGCGAGCAGGAAATGAACGCTCACCTGGCCGAGGAGTCGCGGGTGAGCCGAGCGCACACTTCTGATTACGAGATGATATAAAGAATCACGCAGTTGAGATTTGCTTTGTAGTATTGCATATATCGCTTTATGTGAGTGTACTGTATGTAAGATTGGATATACTTATAGTAGCTGTACATGTTACTAATTATTCATTCTATCCACTGCATTATACATTTGAAATATGCCAGAATGCAAAAATATCAAGTACATATAAAATATATACATTTGTAAACTTACAAAGAATCTCTGAATGCTTTTTGCTGCAGAGATACAGGAATGAGTTCAACACTAACCTGGCCGTAATGGAAGTCTACAAGTATGCCAAGAGATATCGCAATCAGGTGAGTCGTTCCTCCTGATGTCTGTCCGCACACCTGCGGTGGCGTAACTATCCTGAGCGTGTGTGAGCATGTGTTAGCGTGTGTGACCGTGAGTGTGTGCCTAAGTGTGTGTGTGTGTGTGTGTGTGTGAGTGAGTGAGAGAGTGAGTGTGTGTGTGAGTGTCTAAGCGTGTGTGAGTGTGAGTAAGCATGTGTAAGGGTCTGTAAGCGCATGTAAGCGTGTGTGAGCATGTCTGAGTGTAATCGAGTGTGTGTGAGTGTAAGCATGTGTGTGTGATCGTGCGTAAGGGTGTGTAAGCGCGTGTAAGTGTGTGTGAGCATGTCTGAGTGTAAGCGTGTGAGTGTGTGTGAGCGTAAGCGCGTGTGTAAGCGTGTGTGAGTGTAAGCATGTGAGTGTGTGTGAGCGTGTGTGAGTGTAAGCGTGTGAGTGTATGTGTGAGAGCGTGTCGGTGTACGCATTTTTGTGACAAATGAGGACATAAATTTGTATAATGACAAAGGTATGACAGGTATTACAAGGAGAAGGTGACTTTTCAGGACATTACCCCATGTCCCCACTTTTCAAAACGCTTATAAATCACACAGAATGGAGTGTATTGAAAATCTGAAATAGCAGTGTGTGTGTGTAAGCATGTGTGTGTAAGCGTGTGTGAGTGTAAGAAGCGTGTGTGAGCGTGTGTGTGAGAGAGCGTGTCGGTGTGTGTAAGTGTGTGTGAGTGCGTGTGAGTAATTAAATGGTTCAGGTCATACTTAGAAGGGAGAGGTTATTATGTGAGTATAGGAGAGCATAAGTCTAAGTGGACGTCCATGACATGCGGAGTCCCACAAGGCTCAATTCTTGCACCGCTCTTGTTTAGCCTGTATATGCTCCCACTAAGTCAAATAATGAGAAAGAACCAAATCGCCTATCACAGCTATGCAGATGATACCCAGATTTACCTAGCCTTATCTCCAAATGACTACAGCCCCATTGACTCCCTCTGCCAATGCATTGATGAAATTAACAGTTGGATGTGCGAGAACTTTCTTCAGTTAAACAAAGAAAAAACCGAAGTCATTGCATTTGGAAACAAAGATGAAGTTCTCAAGGTGAAATGCATACCTTGACTCTAGGGGTCAAACAAAAAAAAATCAAGTCAGGAATCTTGGTGTGATTCTGGAGACAGACCTTAGTTTCAGTAATCATGTCAAAGCAGTAACTAAATCAGCATACTATCATCTCAAAAACATTGCAAGAATTAGAGGTTTTGTTTCCAGTCAAGACTTGGAGAAACTTGTTCATGCCTTTATCACCAGCAGGGTGGACTATTGTAATGGTCTCCTCACCGGCCTTCCCAAGAAGACCATTAGACAGCTGCAGCTCATCCAGAACGCTGCTGCCAGAATTCTGACTAGAACCAGAAAATCTGAGCATATCACACCAGTCCTCAGGTCCTTACACTGGCTTCCAGTTATATTTAGGATTGATTTTAAAGTACTTTTACTCGTTTATAAATCACTCAATGGCCTAGGACCTAAATATATAGCAGATATGCTCACTGAATATAAACCTAACAGACCACTCAGATCATTAGGATCGAGTCAGTTAGAAATACAGAGGGTTCACACAAAACAAGGGGAATGTGCTTTTAGTTATTATGCCACCCGCAGTTGGAATCAGCTTCCAGAAGAGATCAGATGTGCTAAAACATTAGTCACATTGTAAGCGTGTGTGAGCGTGTGTGTGAGAGCGTGTCAGTGTGTGTGAGTGCGTGTGAGTGTGTGTAAGCGTGTGTGAGTGTGTGTAAGCGTGAGTGTGAGCGTGTCAGTGTGTGTAAGCTTGTGTGAGTGTAAGCGTGTGTGTGTGAGAGCGTGTCGGTGTGTGTAAGTGTGTGTGAGTGCGTGTGAGTGTGTGTAAGCGTGAGTGTAAGCATGTTAGTGTGTGTGAGCGTGTGTGAGTGTATGTGTGTAAGCGTATGTGAGTGTGTGTAAGCGTGAGTGAGTGCGTGTGAGTGTGTGTAAGTATGTGTGAGTGTGTGTAAGCGTGTGTGAGCGTGAGTGTAAGCATGTTAGTGTGTGTGAGTCTGTGTGAGTGTAAGCATGTGAGTGAGTGTGTGTGTGTGTGTGTAAGCATGTGTGTGTGTTAGCGTGTGTGTGTAAGCGTGTGAGAGCGTGTGAGTGTGTCAGTGTGTGTAAGCGTGTGTGAGTGTAAGCATGTGAGTGTGTGTGAGTGTAAGCGTGTGTGTGTGTGTAAGCGTGTGTGAGTGTAAGTATGTGAGTGTGTGTGAGTGTAAGTATGTGAGTGTGTGTGAGTGTAAGCGTGTGTGTGTGTGTAAGCATGTGTGTGTGTAAGCGTGTGTGAGTGTAAGCGTGTGAGAGCGTGTGAGTGTGAGCGTGTCATTGTGTGTAAGCGTGTGTGAGTGTAAGCGTGTGTGTGAGAGCGTGTCGGTGTGTGTAAGTGTGTGTGAGTGCGTGTGAGTGTGTGTAAGCGTGAGTGTAAGCATGTTAGTGTGTGTGAGCGTGTGTGAGTGTATGCATGTGTGAGCGTGTGTGTGTGTGTGTGTGAGAGTGTGTAAGTGTGTGTGAGTGCGTGTGAGTGTGTGTAAGTATGTGTGAGTGTGTGTAAGCATGTGTGTGTGTAAGCGTGTGTGAGTGTAAGCGTGTGAGAGCGTGTGAGTGTGAGCGTGTCATTGTGTGTAAGCGTGTGTGAGTGTAAGCGTGTGTGTGAGAGCGTGTCGGTGTGTGTAAGTGTGTGTGAGTGCGTGTGAGTGTGTGTAAGCGTGTGTGTGAGCCTGTGTATGAGTGTAAACATCTTTGAGTGTGTGTGAGTGTAAGCATGTGAGTGTGTGTGAGTGTAAGCGTGTGTGTGTGTAAGCATGTGTGTGTGTGTGTGAGCGTTAGCGTGTGAGTGTAAGCGTGTGTGTGAGCCTGTGTATGAGTGTAAACATCTTTGAGTGTGTGTGAGTGTAAGCATGTGAGTGTGTGTGAGTGTAAGCGTGTGTGTGTGTAAGCATGTGTGTGTGTGTGTGAGCATTAGCGTGTGAGTGTAAGCGTGTGCGTGAGCCTGTGTGTATGAGTGGCATGTTTGAGTGTGTGTGAGTGTAAGCGTGTGTGAGAGTGTGAGTGGGTGTGAGCATGTGTGAGTGTAAGCGTGTGTGAGTGGGTGTGAGCGTGTGTGAGTGTAAGCGTAAGTGGGTGTGAGCGTGTGTGAGCATGTGTAAGCATGTGTGAGTGTGTGTGTTTGAGTCTGTGTGAGCGTGTGTGTGTGTTTGAGCATGTGTAAGCTGTGTAAGTGTGTGTGAGCGAGTGTCAGTGTAAACATGTATGAGTGTGTGTAAGCGCGTGTGAGTGTTTGTGATTGTGTGTGTGTGTGTGCATAAGCGTGTGTGAGTGTGTAAGCTCGTGTGTTTGTGATTGTGTGTAAGCGTGTGTGTAAGCACGTGTGAGTGTTTGTGGGTGTAAGTGAGTGTGTGTAAGCAAGCGGGTGTAAGCGTGTGTGAGCATGTGTGAGTGTGTGTAAGTGAGTGTGAGCGTGTGTGTGTGTAAGCGTGTGTGAGCATGTGTGAGTGTGAGCATGTGTAAGCATGTGTGAGCGTGTGTAAGTGAGTGTGAGCATGTGTGAGTGTGTGTGAGCGTGTTTGAGCATGTGTAAGCTTGTGTGTGTGTGTGAGCATGCCGGCAGCAGGATGCAGATGCCCCGGACAGATGTGAAGGTCCATTCTTGAGCCGTGATTGAGCTCATTTCTGATGACAGCTGTGCTCTGAATAGGGCTCCTTTGACCTGAAAGTGCAATCGCATGGGGGTTTGCAAAACAATGCTGATTATTGTGAATGTGCAGAGCACTGCACGAGTGTGAACAAGCCGGATTGTGTTTAAATTCTCTCTCTTTCACGTTGGTCAAAGAACTGTTTTGTTTTTTTTAGTATTTCCAACTTAAATGCATTTAGTTTTGCAATCTGAACAGATAACAGTACATGTGCTCATTTCAGATGTAAAGGTGAAGTATGCAGTTCCTGCCTAATGTCATCTAGTGGAACTACAAAAATAATGCATATTCAAACAACCTTTGCAAATGCCCCTTTTACTCATCACACCTTTATGTTTACACTTATCCTTACAGTATCTTACTATTTTATCTGGGGCTCGACAGTGAAGGGCTAACGTGAGTTTAGCAAGAAGAAACTGCAAGTTTGTCGGCTCTATTGAATTCCAAACGTACCGTCAAATTATTGTAAAAACACTGCCAGTGTTTAACCTTGTTTTTCCACATTGTCTGTCTCGGCATAATTTGGCAAATCTTTGAATTTTGACTTCTGTGCACTGAATCAGATTTTTTTTTCCATGCACCACGTCAACCATGTTCAACAGTCAGCCTGCTACAATGCCCAAACGCAGTCTGTTACAGTAGCCACACCCCAAACCCCGCCTCATACAGTGGCAAACGGTAAACTGTTTGCACTACAAACCAGTGTGTTCATAATAAAGATAATACATTAAAATAAAAAGGTAAGACTGACCAATTTGCAATATCAAGCAGCAAAACGAGCTGATTTGTACAGCTAAAAATAGCTGGACACGGATGACACCGGAAGCTAGTCCCATAAAAATTACAAATAGCCGCGCTTGCTCTTACGGCAAGAATGAAGTGAATATACAGTGTGCTATGGATTACAGCAAGCTGAAATTCTGCAGTTTTAGTACTTGGCTCAAGTCCAAGACCATGTTTTCAAGAGCGTTTCACTTTGGACTGAACTTGAATGAGCCGGTCTCAACCAGTCATAGAAAATATGGTCTCGGACTTGAGTCTGTACTGGACTGTACTACAGCACTGCAGTTCCGAATGCTTTAGATGCTGTATTTTAAAGCAAATAAACGGATAGAAATGATTTTGTGATCTTTGGCTGAGTTTGAGGCTGTGAGTAGTGCGTCTCTGATTACATTTAATGATTTACTTCATAAAAGTGGCATCTTGAACATTTTCAGTGTCGGCCCTATGTTACAAAATGTTCCATTAATGTGTTCAGTGAAAGCAGTGTGAACACAGACTCACAGAGACTCATGCATGTTGGAATCCTGTCACAGTCCCATCTCCTCTAACTGATGTCAGAATACCTTTGAAAAAGACTTCAAATAAACTGTACGTATATATTGATGTGTGTGTCTCAGGTGGTGAGCGCGCTGGACTCGAGCCCGACGGCTAGACGCACTCAGCTGCAGCACAAGTTTGAGCAGGTCATTGCACTGGTGGAAGACAACATCTATGAGTGCAGCAGTGAGGCCTGAACGCCGCCTCAAAGGACAGAAGCCCTGACGCCCATATCTGATCAAAACTGTCCCACATTCACTGAATCGATTACATTTAATGATTTACTTCATAAAAGTGACATCTTGAACATTTTCAGTGTCGGCCCTATGTTACAAAATGTTCCATTAATGTGTTCAGTGAAAGCAGTGTGAACACAGACTCACAGAGACTCATGCATGTTGGAATCCTGTCATAGTCCCATCTCCTCTAACTGATGTCAGAATACCTTTGAAAAAGACTTCAAATAAACTGTACGTATATATTGATGTGTGTGTCTCAGGTGGTGAGCGCGCTGGACTCGAGCCCGACGGCTAGACGCACTCAGCTGCAGCACAAGTTTGAGCAGGTCATTGCACTGGTGGAAGATAACATCTATGAGTGCAGCAGTGAGGCCTGAACGCCGCCTCAAAGGACAGAAGCCCTGACGCCCATATCTGATCAAAACTGTCCCACATTCACTGAATCAATGAGGATAATCAAGTGAAGTAGTGAGGGGGAAACGTCCATAATGTTTCACTGCTTGTTCTTGCTATGATGAGTTTGTTGGTTTTCAATCACTATAGTATTCCACTATTGACTTTGACTAGGAGTTTGTTTAATTAATTGTGGACTCCAGGGTCCTGAGGCCTGCAGTCATGTGACGCACTGACCCCACGCTTGGGGAGAGCCACTTATGCACTGGATTATACAAGACCTTCTCCATAGCAATATTTATAGCTGTATGATGATTTCATAGTGTTATTTGAATAACGTTTCTCTGATGGGATATTTGTGCCTGCACTGTTCAACAGCAGTCCATTTTAATTCCACGATGCCTTGGACTACAAGTTACTATATGATTAACATATAATAGGCTTGAATGAGACTGTTGCATTTGTATTAATTATTATTAGTTGAAGGGTTTGGGTCTTTCTTTGGGTCCAAACCAAAGTGTGTGCATCATTTTTGTAGATATTCTGCTGGAAATGTTAAAATTTTTTGGAGAAAGAGGGAAATTTTATCAATAAAGACAAACTTTACTAAAACTTTGTGTAATGTTCCCAGTTCTTTGTCACATCCATGCACATTTTAGTAAACATTTTTTGTTTTACATGAGCCTTTATTTCTGCTTTGACTCTATATTTTGTAATCTGCAGGCAAATTCATGTCTTTACACACGAGCATATTTAATCGTAATTCTTCCACAGACGACATTTACATCTAAACGTTCAGAGAATTGTTTTGCTGGGTGTGTGGTGAATCTCCTGAGGTCTCTTCTGGCTTCAGCACTCAATCTCACGTCTGGTCAACATCAAACTTTATAAAGAAACAGTACATAGACTCAGAACATAAGCCTACAAAAGGTTATCTGGTGAAAATCTGAACTTTACAAAATCATAACTGACTATAGCTAAATATTCATCTAACAGCTGGAGTATCAGGCAGAACCAATGGAGCAGCTGTTGAGATAAATTCATAGAGATGCCATCAAGTTACTAAACACATACACAATTACCTGCAGTACAAACATACACTATAACTATAGAGATCTGGTTGGCCAGTTACAACACGTGTAAGATTCAAGGGCAGAAATGTGTGAAGTAGTAGATGTAGTTGTAGTTGTAGTTGTAGATGTAGTAGATGTGGAGTGAGATATTTGGCCTGTAGGAGGCTGCTGGATGGATTTGTCCAGCTGTCGGTCAGGCGGGAGCAACCTGACTGGACGAGACCACCGAGGACTGAGTCTTACTGGAGGCCGTCATGCTGGTCTCCGCCTCACCAAACGGGTTATTTCCACAGCAGACCGTAGTGAGCATGCAGTTCCTGAACTGGACCAATACAAACACATCCCGGATTATATACAGCAGACGTCAGTTCCAACCCTGCTTCAACAAACCTGCCTGTTGTAGCTACTCTGTTAGCTAAAATGGTAAGTAATAAGGCTATGAAGTTGAACCGTTCAGTGTATTAGTCATTAGCCTGCAAGCTTATTAGATGTCGTATGACGTTTGATCATTTGGTAAGAACATGGAATAAAGATGTTGAGATCCACCCTACAACTTGTGACAGGCACAGCCCTGATGTTCCTTCTTTTAAATTTTAATAACAAACTATATCAGTTCAGCCAGTTACTCTTAGAATACTGAAACTGTGACGGGCATGTAGTTTGTAATTTGGTGGATGGCACAGTGCTGTCTGCTCTCCTTCTCTTCAGTGTTGTTCATAATGTATGAGGGAGTCATTGAATTATTCACTCAACCCTTTTATTCAAAAACACTGATTCATTCAGGAATGAAAGAGCATGAGCATGAACTTCTGTGTGCTGCTTGAATACACACAACAGTTCGTTCTGCTGTGTCTTTCTTTAGAACTGTTTTTAGTTAGTATACTTAGTACGTAGTACATGATTGATAACTGTCTCACCTGTCTGTTGAGAATGATGTAGATGACCGGGTTGTAAAGCGCTGCACTCTTAGCAAAGAAAGCAGGTATTGTCATGACTACAGGACCAAACTCCGCCCCCTGATTACCAAAGATATACCAGGCCACGCTGGCATACGGCACCCAGCACACTAAGAACGAGATCACCATGACAACCACCATACGTGTCACTTCCCGTTCGGCCCTCTGGGTCGTCTCTGATTCCTGCTGCTGAGCAGCGGCCTAACGACAGATAACAAATGACAGAAAACAATGAGCACAATATGTGCTGTTCATGGTCCTGGATGCTGATTGGTTCAGTGGTCCAGCTGTGTTGACGATATATATGTGAAGCAGTTGCTCATCACTGCACAACACTCAACTATTAACCTAACATGTCAGGAAGTAGATCTCGTGTCCTTTGTGTAGTAACTGCAATAAAAAGCACCAAGTCTGTGCTTGTTTGTTATATATGAATTGATCATTTAAAAGGATAGTTCACCCAAAAAGGAAAATTCTGCATTTTTTTGTCCATACACTGGCCTGCTAACCAAAACTGTCTGGTTACCAACAGTCTTCACAATATCTTCTGTGTTCTACAGAACAAAGAAATACATGTTTGTGTGTGTCTTACCGCACGGACAGTGCAGAGAAGGCGACTGTAGCAGAAGAAGATGATGAGCAGTGGAATGGAGAAGTGCAGTATGAACATGTAGATAACAAACGAGGTGTTGTTGATCTCAGGTTTGGGAGTGTAGTAATCTATTCCACAGGAGCACTGCATTCCCTCTGGAATATACCTGCACACAGTCACATGACCAGCAAACCTCCAGTCAGGACATCAGTATCAGTTCATGAGCTCATTGTCCTGTCACTGACTGCTCAACTTCACTGTTGTAGGCAATTCAGTTGACAAATGAGTGGACAAAGCTCTGTGTTTTGCTGCAGACTGTGATGGATTACCTGGACCAGCCCAGCAGGGGCGGCATGCAGCAGGTGAGGGCCATGACCCAAGTGAAGCCCACTCCCACGATGGCGTGCTTCTCTCCGAAACGAAACGTTGTCATTGGCTTACACACCACAATATAACGCTCGACAGCCAAAACCACCAGAGACCACAGCGCGATCTCACCTGACAAACATAGAGAAGATGAAGATCTCGATCACTTCAGCTCCAAACTTGGTCTCCTCTTAGTCCACTTTAGAGATGGCAGAGAGGATAATTAACATTCAAAGATGATATAAACATGTGAAATTTGCTATATTGTACATATTGCTTTGTGTGAGTATATGTACAGTATGTGTCGGTTATACATATAACACCGTGTCCTAACTGCACGCAACGTGACAAGATTCCAGCGACAAGAAAATTTGTGTGTCCACACCAAATACGACGCGACAGAATCAATCAAATATCACAGCCAATCAGAAGCGCGTGTGTGGGCGGGTTCTCTCTGGAAGTGCTCTGCACTCACAACGAAATGGATGTTCATCATCTAATTCATAAATATTAAAACTTTTTTATATAATTAAATGTACATACTGAGTGACTGATACCATCTTTATGGAATACACTCGTTGGTTGGTTCGCAGTGAGTTCGCAGTTTTAACGTACATCTTTGCTTTAATTTATTTTCAAGATCTGAGGTAAACTGTCTGTTGTTGCTTTCAGTATGGCTATAAAGTCATGCAAAATTATATTTAAACTCATATTAGACACGTTTAAGTAAGGGATAATGTACACCCAGCCGGTTGTTATCTCAGAATAAACCCTGACAGGGTGATCAGTCTTGTATCAGCCTGAAGGGGTTTACTCTGAGATAACAACTGGCTGGATGTACATTATCCCACTTATTACACGGCTAAAAAGATTTGTTTTTACCATATATGTTGAAATTAATGCTGAAGTCTTCCATTGTAACACGCGGTGGTTATGTGTTTTCAGTCACAAGATGGCGCCAGACAGTCAACGATAGCGGAGTGACTCGTTAAGCACACAAGTAGTACCGGTCAAGATAACTCGTAGTACCCGGATGAGCGGTATGCTATTCAATTTGGCGGTTGTTATCTGGGAATAACATACCGCTGGATGGCGCGATTGACCAATCAGAATCAAGTATTCCACAGAGTCGTGTAATAACTTTTAATAAAGCACATAATCTGTACCTGAGATTATCTAATATACTATAGTTTGTATGTTGTTGTTCCAGCCACGACGTCGCGGCTAGTTAGGACAAAAACTCAGATTAACATGGAAAAGATACCTTTTATCGCGTGTCGTGTCGCGTGTAGTTAGGACACGGTGTAATAGTTGTAAATTAGTAATTCAAGTTTTGCAGTGCTAAATCTGCATGGTTCTGGTTTCAATGTTTTGGTGTCATTAAATTACTATAATTTATTATATTATATTTATATGTGTGTGTGCGTGCGTGTGTGTGTGTGTTTGTTTGTGTGTGTTCTCCTGCACCCCATGGTTCAGTCCCACGGCCATCAGAGAGAGAATCTGCATGGTTCTGGTTTCAATGTTTTGGTGTCATTAAATTACTATAATTTATTATATTATATTTATATGTGTGTGTGCGTGCGTGTGTGTGTGTGTTTGTTTGTGTTTGTGTGTGTTCTCCTGCACCCCATGGTTCAGTCCCACGGCCATCAGAGAGAAATAAATATCGGCAGGCAGGTCCAATCACACAGATGGTGGGCAGAGCACAAGGAGAGTCTGACGGGATTTCTTTCCCTTTCAGGCCCCATCTGTTACTCCCATTATAATTGTATAATATGTGAGCCTTAATTCTGAGGAATTAGATGCAGTGCTTGAAACTGTAGGTGCAAGATCATTCCAAGTCATGCATGAATTGAGGATGTCACCAGCTAAGATGGTGTCCCTCCTCATATTTTATCAGGCTAGTCAACTGTTCGAGGTTGAGCAGCGTCCCCCAGATGTTGGAATCTATTAGGCAGGTGGCTCCCTTTGTTGCCAAGTTTAGACAGTGGCATCAAGTGTGAGTAGCTCCCCGTAAGCCCTCCTTGATAAGCCATCTTTAGGGTCGAGGCCATCATGCTGAGGCCACCACTCTCTAGAGCTCTGCCTAGATAGCAGTATTGAGTTTTGTATGTCTCTGTGAGCCTCGAAAGCTGTCCTGACCATAGGATGTAGCTAGTCCTCCTCTCACTTTAGAGAGTCATTTGTTAAGCCTCCTTTCACTATAGAAAGTCATCCTGTTAAGTTCCACTCGCCTGAGCTCCACCTAGGTCCTCTATGATGCCTCCTTAACAGGCGTAAGATGTTGCTAGGGTGCCTCTCGCTTGAGACAGTAGTTACGCTAGGCCTCCATCCTCTGAGCTCTGCTAGGGGCTAAGTTGCTGACTCTCTGCTATATACGTGCTGCCTCCTTGGCCGCCTTTGAAGTGCAATGTTGTTAGGCTTCCCTTCGCTATAAAGAGTCATCGTGCTGGAACCTCTGCTGGAGTCTGTAAGCCTCCTTGGAAAGTTGTCCCAAGTGTAGGGCATAGTTAGAACTCCTCTCACTTTAGAGAGTCATTATGCAGAGGCCTCCATCCTTAAACATCACCCAGGCAGTAGTGCCAATTTGTTAGGCTCTCTGGGAGCATCCTTAGCTACTGCCTTTACAGAGTGGAGTGTTGTCCCACTCCTTGGAGCTCCGTCTGGGCAGCAGTATCAAGTTGTTAGGCTCTCTGTGAGCCTCCTTGATAGCTATCCTTAGCTTAGGGCATATGTGGGCCTCATCTTGCTATAGAGAGTTGTCATGATGAGGCCTTGGTCCTTAGAGCTCAAGTAGGCAGAAGTGCAAAGTTGTGAGGCTCTTTGTGATTTTCTTGGTCACTGTTTTTAATTCTAGTGGATTCCTAAGCCACCTCTCACTATAGAGAGTCGTCCTTTTAAGGCTTTCACCCCAGAGCTCTACTTAAGTAGCAATTCTGAGTTGTTAGGCTCTCTGTAAGCCTCCTTGGAAGCTTGTGGAAGGTAGTTGGGCCTTATCACTTTAGAGTGTGGTTCTGCTGAGGCTTCTGCTCCCCAGAGCTCCGCTGGGATAGCAGTTCCGAGTTGTTAGGCTTTCTATGAAAGCCTTGGGAAGTTGCCCTGAGCTTGGGTTTGAACCAGATCTCCCTAAGTATAGTGACAGACAAGGGAACTATCTTGCTTCCCTGTGCCAGTATTCCCTTAAAGGTGTCATCTAGTAAAGAAGGCTAACGTTACCAGACCTTTGAGCTCTTCCCTAGGGATGGGCACTCCCAGTAAGGAAGGGAAGAAGGTGTAAAAACCGGGACTTTCCTTGCATAGGGTGTAAAGCTCAGGGGTGGCCATAGGGATTAATAGGGGATTGCTGACTCCGGCAGCTAAGACTGTTGAGTCCTTATTTGAGTGCATGTCACAGCTGATCTGGCAGTCAATCCACTCAGCATGGCATAGTGAGTATTTGTTCCCCATAGAAGTCTTCTCAGATGCAGTGCGAGTTCCACTTGAAAAGCAAACGTCTCAGGTTACGCATGTAACCATGGTTCCCTGAGAGGGGGCTGCCTGTTTATGTCTCCTTCAGACAAAAAAAATTCTATTACATTCTCCTCTAACTGTACAGTACAAATAAAATGTCAGTAATTAAGAAAATGTTACTACACTGATTGAACTGTAAAATTTGATTAATCCAAGATTAATCTGGAAGATGCTTGAAAAAAAATGGCGTAAGGTCACAATCTCTCATAAAAGTCATACAAATTACTCTAATCCATTTGGATGGTTAATTTATTATTTTTACTGTAAAAACACTGTAAAACAATGATTTTAACCCTAACCCTAAAGACAGTACAGCAATTACTACATACATGTATAATTAGTTTTTGCATTATAGTAATGAGACTTGAGGTTGAAATGTGGGTTATGAACTCGATAATATCACAGTGTAAAATCCAAAAGAAAACAACTATATATACATATTTAACATTTTAAGGCCTCTAAATAAAAAATAATCTAATTTAAAATTTGTATTACTATACACTTGACTGTAATACATTAAAACACCTATTATAGTTAAGAGAACAGTGATAATTACAAAAATAAATAAATGAATGATAAATAAAAACCCTTAAAGATAAAACATGAAACAAAAACAAAATTGTCATGAAAATAATGCGAAAAAAATAGGCTCGGTTTTCGAGTGAAAGGTGATCATGGTATATTTTTGTGAGAATCACCCAAATTTGACACCAGTCTTTATTACCACAGCAATACCCACACTGTGCTTCTGATTGCTATCTGATGAATCTCTCAGGAGTGTTTGTCTGCAGAGATGAAGCACTCACCGCCCAGCGTGGCGAAGAAGCCTTCGATGTTGCAGCCGGTGACCCCCAGGACAAAGTATCCATGCAGAGAGGTGTAGAGGGTGACGGTGAAGCCTCCCACCACCATGAACAGGTCAGCCACAGCCAGATTGAGCAGGATGTAGTTGAGTGGCGTGCGCAGCTTCTTGTGCTGCACGGTGACGTAGAGCGTGAGGAAGTTGACGGGGAATGCAGTGATGATGAGGAAAAGCATGTACGCCGCCAGGAGCGAGTACTTCCATGGCTCTGCTAGGTAGTACTGCGGCTCCTCAAACGGGCTGCGCACCAAACCCGTCCTGTTGGACATGGGCACGTAGAAGTTCGGACCTTCCGTTCCATTCATGTTTGGTTCACTGGTCAAGGGTCACAATGGAGAAAGCCGATAGATGAGAGTGAACCTTCTCCTCAGTAGAAAGCGACTGAGAGCGAGATCTGCTCCGCAGGACGCGAGCACCTCTCTTATATGCCCCCCATGTGCCCAGATTAAGCGCAGATGAGAGATTACAGTGAGGTGCTGCAATTTGGAGGAATGGAGTTACAGGCAGATTGGGGTCAGAGAGGCCCGATAATCCACAAGGTTAAACGGCCGTAGGACAACAGCAACCAACCCCATAACTTAATGGATATGTCTCTATAAGGGTCAATTCACAAACTCCAACAAAAACCACCAGTGCAGTCATTGGGCTGTATTGGGTCAGTGTTTTGTTTCCCAACATCTGAAATCCAACTGCACGCTTGTTGGTGTTTCTTGGGTCTTTATCCAGTACTGAACCCCAGACAGCTGCTCTGATGAAGCCCAGCCACACACACTTCAGCTTTATAAACACACGATTACTTACACAATGACAAAAATAACGAGTACTGCTGAAATAATGCTGGATGGAAAGAGAGAGCTAAAGTTCAGTGTGGGACAGAGTTCGTTTATTAACCATCAAACAGTAACGTTTCAGCGCGAGAACAACCTGACAAAACATCACCAGTTACCTGCTCAGGTTTGTGCTGCTGGTTTGCCACTGATGATGTCTCTTCCTAGAGGAGGAGGAAACTGGCTTTTGTTAGGTAAATTGACATTAAAAACTTTAAAGAGGTTCTGTAATCAAACAATATTCCAAAGAAAACATAACAAAAATGTCTTTTTAAATATTTAATGGGGACATGGCAAAAATATTTACTCAGACCCACTCGGAGGTAAAACATACTCATATAGGTTACTTCATTGTAAAAATCAGTATGATTTCCATCTTTTAAAAATAATATGTGAAGACAGGGAGCATGGGCACACTGTCAGAGCGCTGCAGAGACACTGAAACCACACATTAACATCAACACTGTTACATCACTGTGTGCTTTTGGGCCTTTTCCTTCTCATTGTTATCATTATTTGTGTGTAAATGTATGTCTGTAATTTAATGTTACCAATGTGTTTGCAATGTTTAGTTTTTTTTTAACCATGCAAATAAAGCCATTTGAATCTGAATGTGTGAGATGGACTAGCCATTCCTCCACACCACCTTTCAGAAGACAAGCAGTGGATGGATGATGGGAATATGAAAATGTTCTGCTTATTACTGACTTGTATGACAAAACCGGTATTGAGAGTGATGGTCATATATGTGGAGACTGACCTCATGATGTCAAACACAAAATGTTGACTGGATCAGATTTGGAGAACATGACAAGAGAACGTGATAAAATGGTGAAAGGAAAACCAGCAACATTCCTTTAAAAATAATGTTTTCTTTTGATATTTTTTTTTCTTTATTCATGTTCTGATTGCAAATGCATCACTGCTATTACAAATGGAAATGTAATAGTGATTTTTCATCTCTTAAAATGATTTTAAAAATCTGTTTACTTTATTTTTTTACTTGTTTCATATTTGTGGACATCCCCAAAAGGAGGTTTTGTCAGGTTTAGCTCATTTCTTGGTGCAAATTTGTCCCCAGAATAAGGCTGTGGTACAAACACGCTCACACAGACTGGTTTTCTGTGGTCTTTCTAATGCTTATGGTAGGCATCAGTTATAATGATGATCTCATGCAACACCTGAGCTTTACAGCAGCCACTTTTACAGGCAAAAACCACTCACACCTACATGAAGCAATCAACACAAACACTTCAGCTCTACTGACAGGAAAACATTACAATACATGTTAGAGGCATAAATATTACACTTTATTTATATTGTCTGAATCTAAGCAAACGTGTTGAAGTGGACCGAGCCGTGAGTGTGTGTGTGTGTGAGAGAGAGAGTGTGTGTGTGTGTGTGTGTGTGTGTGATAAGGCGTATGCATGTCCTCACATGTACAAACGCTGTAATCAGCTTTAGCAGCTGATCCGGCTGATCCTATCAGAGCGCTGCCCTGAGCTGGCATTTACTGACGCGTTTCTAGCTGATCAAAGCACGGTCCTACAGACACACAGGTGAAGTGATGGTCTGGAGGCTAATCCAGGCACTAGCTGTGCTAGCTGGGCTCGTCGATGGGTCTGCGGCAGTACGGACAGCAGTTGTGCTGAAGAACAAGCAGCTCGTAGTCCTCACTGTGAAACATCTGTGAAAACACCACAACACAATACAGTCAAACATCACCAGAACAGAGGGCCGAGCGCGTGATCGAGCGTGTGTGTACCTGGAAGCAGGAGGGGCACATGGTGATGCTGACGTCTGGCAGCAGAGAGCGGTAGTACTGCCAGCTGAGCGGTCTGGGCCAGCGCTTGATCAGAACATCTCGTCTGGACATGCACCTCAGCACGGCACGATTCACCAGCACCGGCACGAATGCACGGCCACCCTGCTGTAAACACCAGCACAGCACACTCACACACTCATCTCACGCAGCACTTCAGTGACCAGGAACCCTCTCACCTCAAAGCTGAGTTTGGCTGTGAATGGATCGTCCTCTGGGTCTTCAGTCCCATCATCCAGCCTCAGACACTGGGATTCTGACACACACACACACACACACACACTGAGTTGAGCACACTGCACTGTATGTCCTCAGCCTGCTCTGTTTGTTTGATTTCAGTGATCAGCAGCCCAGAGAGCCCAAGCATGGTAGGACGCACCTCTCAGTTTAGGTTCTAGGTCTCTAAGCAAACGCACACTTTCTCTAATATCTAACATCAGGGGCGGTTCTAGGGTGAGTGGCCCAGACACATTCATGTATGTATCAGAATACACGGGATACACTTCAAATAAAAGTTGCATTGGCTTATTGGCTTACTTTTTTAAAGAGACAAGTATAATTAATTATAATTTGCACTTACAAATTGTTTTTTCTTTATTCATGTTCTGATTGCAAATGCATCACTGCTATTACAAATGGAAATGTAATAGTGATTTTTCATCTCTTAAAATGATTTTAAAAATCTGTTTACTTTATTTTTTTACTTGTTTCATATTTGTGGACATCCCCAAAAGGAGGTTTTGTCAGGTTTAGCTCATTTCTTGGTGCAAATTTGTCCCCAGAATAAGGCTGTGGTACAAACACGCTCACACAGACTGGTTTTCTGTGGTCTTTCTAATGCTTATGGTAGGCATCAGTTATAATGATGATCTCATGCAACACCTGAGCTTTACAGCAGCCACTTTTACAGGCAAAAACCACTCACACCTACATGAAGCAATCAACACAAACACTTCAGCTCTACTGACAGGAAAACATTACAATACATGTTAGAGGCATAAATATTACACTTTATTTATATTGTCTGAATCTAAGCAAACGTGTTGAAGTGGACCGAGCCGTGAGTGTGTGTGTGTGTGAGAGAGAGAGTGTGTGTGTGTGTGTGTGTGTGTGTGATAAGGCGTATGCATGTCCTCACATGTACAAACGCTGTAATCAGCTTTAGCAGCTGATCCGGCTGATCCTATCAGAGCGCTGCCCTGAGCTGGCATTTACTGACGCGTTTCTAGCTGATCAAAGCACGGTCCTACAGACACACAGGTGAAGTGATGGTCTGGAGGCTAATCCAGGCACTAGCTGTGCTAGCTGGGCTCGTCGATGGGTCTGCGGCAGTACGGACAGCAGTTGTGCTGAAGAACAAGCAGCTCGTAGTCCTCACTGTGAAACATCTGTGAAAACACCACAACAAAATACAGTCAAACATCAGAACAGAGGGCCGACCGCGTGATCGAGCGTGTGTATACCTGGAAGCAGGAAGGGCACATGGTGATGCTGACGTCTGGCAGCAGAGAGCGGTAGTACTGCCAGCTGAGCGGTCTGGGCCAGCGCTTGATCAGAACATCTCGTCTGGACATGCACCTCAGCACGGCACGATTCACCAGCACCGGCACGAATGCACGGCCACCCTGCTGTAAACACCAGCACAGCACACTCACACACTCATCTCACGCAGCACTTCAGTGACCAGGAACCCTCTCACCTCAAAGCTGAGTTTGGCTGTGAATGGATCGTCCTCTGGGTCTTCAGTCCCATCATCCAGCCTCAGACACTGGGATTCTGACACACACACACACACACACACACACACTGAGTTGAGCACACTGCACTGTATGTCCTCAGCCTGCTCTGTTTGTTTGATTTCAGTGATCAGCAGCCCAGAGAGCCCAAGCATGGTAGGACGCACCTCTCAGTTTAGGTTCTAGGTCTCTAAGCAAACGCACACTTTCTCTAATATCTAACATCAGGGGCGGTTCTAGGGTGAGTGGCCCAGACACATTCATGTATGTATCAGAATACACGGGATACACTTCAAATAAAAGTTGCATTGGCTTATTGGCTTACTTTTTTAAAGAGACAAGTATAATTAATTATAATTTGCACTTACAAATTGAATAAGTATTATTTGGGCCTATGAGATTAATGTTTTAAATATAAAATTTAGAATGCAGAAATATGAAATCGTAGAAAAAAATAGAATGATACTTTTAAAAATGAGACTAAAATTGCCAGTAGGTAGCAGCAAGCCACTGTCTTGATGACAGAGTCATTAAGTCATTTATTCAATCGATTCGTTCAAAATGGTTGATTCATACAAGAACGAAGTAAGAATCAGTTTTTATGAATGGGTCAGTGAATCACTGATTCAAAAAACACAAATTAATGCAACATGGCTTTGCTTAGAACCATTTTCGCGAAAATATTTTCTCTACGATTTAAATCACTTAGTATTAACTTATTGTTTATTGAATTTTGTTGCCCTGATACTTATAAAAGACTGCCACAGACCATTCTAAATGCTAACCAATCAGTTCATATAATCACTCTAAATACGTGTGTGTCCTAGAGAGTGCGCATATAATACCATGACTAAAAATCTATATTTGTTGCTATACAGTAACGATAAACTAATTTTGACAGATGGTGAGATCAGTATTATGAATATATACAGTAAGCTACAGATACGTGAAGCAGCTGCATTTTGCTGTTGAAGAGCTGGTTTAATAGAAATAACTGCATGCAAACCCAGTCTTCATGCGCACAAGACACGGCAATAAAAACATTCGGGGCTTCAGCCCCCTTAGCCCACCCCTAGTGCAAACATCACATTTTTCAATGTGCCTCAATCTAGACAACATGGTTTTCCAGCAAAGGTTTTCTGTGATGTTTTTGAACTCTTTTAAGACCATTATTCAGATTCACATTAAATGACTAAAATGTATTAAAATGTGAATGTGTGCTTTGTATGTTGGCCATTGACTGGTCTAGCTTTTTTTATCAATTTGTCAAAATGGTCATTGAACAGTTCTGTACACAGAAGCCTCAGAATTTGACACACAACTGGCTCCACTTATTTTACAGTCTCCCCAGTATTTCCTCTGTGTGTGAATGTGAATGAGACATTACCGCCGCGGCTCATCTCCTGCCAGCTGCTGTTTCTCTCCACACGAGGCACTTCCAGGTCAATGAGAGACACGGCCTCCTCGTCTGAGATATCGTCCTCCAGATAGAACTCCACCAGCGGCAGAACCTCTGAACACGCAACAGATTGACGGGAAGCATATCTGAACTCTAACACTGATCGGCTGAAATTCATGAGGCATTGCCAGCGTACTGTGTCAATGATACACGAGATTCATGTAAATATGCAAAACCAATGCCAAGATACTGGCTGGCTGATGGTCTTCATTCTCCAGAAACACACTTCTGAAGTGGCTTATTGTATCATACAACACAACAGTTTCTTTTGGTCAAGATTTAACCAACACTGTGGTGAGGTTTGCAAAAAAGATACACAGATTAGTGGAAACTACTGAAAAGATATGAAGCAAACCTTTCTGCAAGACATATAGACAGAGTAACTGTAAGCCGATTTATTTAAAATTTCATATGATTTTTGGCCATTTCATTAGTTTGTGCAGTCACCGAGGCAACAAAACTTCAATCTGGTTCACATTTGACATAAATACACTATATAGACAAAAGTATTGAGACACACTTTTTCAAGTGTTTCAATCAGAACCATTGCAATGTGCGTAAAATCAAGCACTAGCCATGCAGTTTCTACAAATGTGTAAAAACAATGGCTTTGCTGAATCCAGAGATGAAGAGCTCTGAGCTTCCACTGGTATTAATATCAGCACAGAAACTGTGCAGGAGCTTCATGTCCGAGCAGCTGCGTGAAGCCTCACATCACAGAGAGCAATGGCGAGCGTGGGATGGACTGGAGTAAAGCAGCAGATACTGGACACTGGAGCAGTGGAACCCTGTTCTGTGGAGCCACCAGTCACACAATCTGACGGGTTTGATGGACGCCAACTCCTTAGTAACGTCTATGTATTTAAAATGAGAAATCATTAAAGGGGTGGTTGACTGTTTTTTTTAGGCTTGTTTTTATTTATGGGGTTAAGACTAACAATGTGTTAATGCTTCGTTAAAAAAAAAAAAAAAAAAGTCACGCCCCTCACCTCAGAATGTGCTCCGGTTGTATTGTAAACAATGGCATTGTCAATATTGCTTATCAGAGCACGAATGAGACGCAGAGGATATTAGTGAAGAGGATTGTGCAGAAGCTGTGCAAGCACGGCTCTTACAGGACGCTTCAGCATGGTATGTTTCTTTGTTTGCTGTTGTCTCATACTTTTAGATACGCTGCTATTTGTAAATGGTCAAAAAATAATCAGGTTTTATCCTGATTACAGCAGAATACCTGATTGCGTTGTAGCATTTTTTTAACAGTAAGAAGTGTTTGCCAGTAAGTATTGCTTGCTACCATGGCAACCGTGTGCACGTCCATGTTTAATGCTTCTCGTAGCTATGTGAAAAATGATCTGTCTGTCACATAAAGTGTATAACTGGAATACAGTTCATTGATGGAGCTGATGATCTAATGATCTGAGAGAGAGATGCAGAGCAGGGGATGTGAGGAACTGGATTAAGAACCGCTGCTTTAGAACATTGATTTTGAAACTTGTGAATCCATTAGAATCGTTAGAAGACAGAATCATGATTCATATATGAATAGATTGTTTGTGCGCCCCTAGTTTTGACGATATGGCAACAACTCTTCCTCTTCTCAAAAGCAGCGCAACATGGCCCCACCCCCTTTGTTGCATGTTCCTGGGGGCGGGGTTTATGTAAATTTCTAGGTTTGTGATGTCACCAACCCTGAAGTAGCTCGTTGTAGTCCCTACAAGTCGTTTAAACTAGCAGAATTGTTTTTTTAAAGATTTATTTATGGTGTTTAATGCCTTTATTTAGATAGGACAGTATAGGTCGACAGGAAGCAAAGTGGGTGAGAGCGGGGGATGGGATCGGGAAAGGTCCGCGAGCCAGGACTCGAACTCGGGACGCCCGAAGCGCAATGGCGCTGTATGTCGGCACAAACTGCCATAATTTTAAAAAGCAATATCTCCGTTTGCAATGAACTTTCAGCGTTGTAACTTTGCATATATTGTTTATGCTCAAACAGCAACATTACACACTAACTAAAGTTAAAGTCCGCATGAACCGGAAGTTGCTGCTGACTTTATTGCAGTATGGTGACGTATTTCCACGTCATGGAACAGAATATTGAGAAGAGGGCGGGGTTTTATTTTTGCGCTCCTCCTCTCATCTTTCACTTGCAGCAAACTAACGGTTGGAGGGGCGTGGTTAAGCACATTCTGCCCAAGCCCTCAAACTGACGTCATCAGAGCAGGAGCGCCATTCCGGGTGGAAGAAAATGATCAGATTTTGATTAAAGATTACCAACACAAACCATTTTTTTTTAGAGGATTAACTTGCACGGATGAATTATTCACCTTAACGGAGACATATTATGCCCCTTTTTACAATATGTAATATAAGTCTCTGGTGTCCCAAGAATGTGTCTGTGAAGTTTCAGCTCAAAATACTCCACAGATCATTAATTATAACATTTTGAAAATGCCTATTTTGAGTGGAAGCAGATACATGCTGTTTTTCAGGCCTGTCTCTTTAAATGCAAATGAGCTGCTGCTCCCCGCCCCTGCTTGCGAAATCAAATGGCGGCACTGGGGCTGTAAACTTACAGATTAAGAGGCGGTAATATTATAATGATATCCGTTTGCAACGTCACTAGGGGAGCAAAATCAGACTTGCTCGTTTTTTGAGACGGTTGCAGAAAAAGGCTTCCCAAAACAAAGTTACTGAGTTAATCTTTTTCACGTTTCTTGGTTGGTAGATTCACCGGGGACCTGATTATAGCACTTAAAACCTGGAGAAGTCAGATTTTCATGATATGTCACCTTTAAGACAAACAATGTGTTAAAGTTAACAAAATAAACAACAAAATATATGTGACAGATCAGATCGTACAAATACTTCCAGTGTTTGGACATTCTCACACACACACTCTGTCTACACTTCAGCCCAACTCAACTCTAATATATGATGCACAAGAGCATCTCACTGAAACCCTCCAAACGCTCAAGAGCGTGAGCAGCGCGTGAAGGATACACTTTGGAGATGCCCATAGGAACGTCTCTGGTCAGGTTGTGGAAGAGAAAGCGGGAGATGTTGAAGAGAATCTCTGGCATGTTGGAACTGAAGGGCTCTGACTGAAAAAACAAACATAAATATGAACAACGTAGCTGAGATTAATCAGAACATAGAAGTCATCGTTCAAAATAGTAAAAAATAGGACAGGAAGAGACAAAGGATAGTAAGAAAGAATATAAAGAGAACAGAAAAAGTGAAGGCATTTTTTTTTTATGAGGAGGTTATTAAACATTGTGCATAATGCTTCAACAAATGCATTAATACAGTAAGAGTCACTGTGTATCTTCTATTCATTAATACTAACTGTAGTTTGCCTAATTATCAATGGTCCACTCGGTGATAAAGACTGAACTGCATGTCACAGATGTGCTCTCATGTCATGTTTAGGAGTTCAGTGACACTGGCAGCCTCTGTAATATACTGGATCTCACACTTTTATATGAATTATTTCTCAACGCCCCTGACATGGAGATGAGCACCTGAAAGCAGCTGATATCACTCATTAACACCAGCTAACGTCTCGCGCTTACCATGTAGCGATGGACAGAATGATAGACGTGATACAGCTCAGCCAAGTGCTGGAAACTGTGAAACTTCTTCAGCATCTCCTCCTTCTTCTCCGAGTTATCTAGAGAAGATATACATTCACATTCATCCAAACATATCTTAATGGTTTATCAAGCATCTCAGACCTCTTCATTTCCTCAAAGTACAGCAAAGAATCAAGCATGAGCTCTAAGAGACCTCTGGCGATGTCGAGGCACTGCATGGACAGCATCCAGTAGTAGTACGAGGCGTCGTTAAACCTGCTCTCCACCACGGCATTATGGGTAAGCTGTTCCAGCACTCGCACGGCCTCCGCCTGACGCCCGGCTTTGTGGAAGGCTGAATAATATCAACAGAGTGCCATCAAATGACCAGATTCAAAAACAAAGCTGTTATGAGAATAAAACATGACACTATAAGTGTGTGAATGAGTTTAGTATTGCAAATGTGCCTGATCAGTGCCACACAAGAGCCAAATTGAGAATCTGAACTGAAACTGATTGGATAACATATGCAATAACAGATAACACATGTATGCTTTTGAGCAGGGTAATATTTCTTCCTCAAAGCCACAAGCAGTCTGATCCACCAATCAGTAAAGATGTTTTTACCATGGAAATGGAAACCACAGCAATTGCTGATCACTCCAAGCGTTAAGAACGACAGAATTAAGTTAAACTGATTTTGAGGTGGACGTAACATACATTGATTTTATACTTGTAATAAATGATTTCATTTTAAAGCTGTTGAAATGAACAAGCTAACACGGGAATGTTCTAAATGCCTAATGCCACAGGTTGTTGAAAAATAGTAAGTAACTCTTGTACTGAATGCGAGTTGAAACCAGAAGAGTGACTGCAGCGTTGCATTCAGCTGTGTGTGGGTTATAAACCCATGATGCTTCATCAGAGCAGTGTGTCTGAGATAACCTAATTAACACACCTAATTATTGGTGTGTCTGAGGCACTGACACACCAATAATGCTGATGCTAATGCAACACTTTTGTACAAAACAAACCGAGATGGGACTTGTGACAAAAAAAAAGCATTTTGCAGGCTTTCTAAAGCAAAATGTAATTATCACAGATGCACATCAACTCTTGTATGTCAGCTTAATCCAAGGACACATGATATGCGGCACTGAGGAAGGTCAGACAATAATGTCATGTACAACAAACTTACCTCCCAGTTAAACACATACACGCACGCACACACACACACACACACACACACACACACACACGCATGCATGCAGACACATACACCCACGCGCACACAACGGCACTGAGGAAGGTCAGACAATAATGTCATGTACAACAAACTTACCTCCCAGTTAAACACATACACGCACACACACACACACACACACACACACACACACAGAGACACACACACACACACACGCATGCATGCAGACACATACACCCACGCGCACACACACACACACACGCACACAGCCATCATTATGAGTGCTTTCCATAGGCGTGATGAGAAACGTATCTTGCTGCCAGTTGCAATTTGCAGAGTGAGTTTGCCGAAGCAGAATCCACACACTCTCTCTCTCCAGTCCTGTATGTGAAGGGTGTGTTTGACTGACCTCTCTGGGCCTCCTCGAAGCGGTCGTGTTCAGCCAGCCACTGGGCGTACGGCACATAGACGTCGTCTCTGAACTGAGAGTGTTTCTCCACTAAAGAGAAAGCCTGAAACAAGCAGCAGCCGCACCAGTCCATCAGTCACTTGCAAAATGTCCTTTATACATCAGTTTTGTCAATGTTCAGCAAACAGTCACATATATGGCGGCGTCTCACTGACCACAGAAACAAACTATTAGTGTCGACACATACACCCACGCGCACACACACACACACACACGCACACAGCCATCATTATGAGTGCTTTCCATAGGCGTGATGAGAAACGTATCTTGCTGCCAGTTGCAATTTGCAGAGTGAGTTTGCCGAAGCAGAATCCACACACTCTCTCTCTCCAGTCCTGTATGTGAAGGGTGTGTTTGACTGACCTCTCTGGGCCTCCTCGAAGCGGTCGTGTTCAGCCAGCCACTGGGCGTACGGCACATAGACGTCGTCTCTGAACTGAGAGTGTTTCTCCACTAAAGAGAAAGCCTGAAACAAGCAGCAGCCGCACCAGTCCATCAGTCACTTGCAAAATGTCCTTTATACATCAGTTTTGTCAATGTTCAGCAAACAGTCACATATATGGCGGCGTCTCACTGACCACAGAAACAAACTATTAGTGTCTTTGCATCTGCTGAAGATGTGAGCAGTCGCCCTACCCTCAACCGCTGATCATTAAAGCCAAAACAGCCATATATATATATAAAACATTGTGAATCAAGTTAAACTGCTTTTGCATTTTAACAATATCTGAATATTTTGTGGTGAATATAAACATAACTGAAACCTTCCACCTCCCCCAGCTCCACCTGTCTACATCTGCTACGGGATTTATATGTTTACTCATGCAGCAGCAGCTTATCTTACATGCTTACAGTAGTGTGTCTGTGCAACTATTTTTTGTCTCCACACCAGTTGGTTACATCAGTTGTTTCAGATGCAGCCAATCAAATGACATTTCAAAACAGCAGCAGAATAAGATAATCACATGCACACATTATCACTTTTACATTCTCAAAACACTTCATTCTGTGTGATTTATGAGCTTCTTTCCTTGTGGGGACATTTGGTCCTCATAACGTAGTGAATAACAGGTACACACACGCACGTACCTCATCCCAGTGTCTAGTGTCCACATGAAGCAGCACCAGCGCCTTCAGATCGCCCATTTTATTATAAATCTCAGCAGCATAACCGTGATGATTGAACTTCTTAAAGAACACGGCACATCTGGACAGCGGCTCCCTCTCTGCTTTATCCAGCTTACGGGCCAAGTCTATCAACCTACACACAGCCAGAGAGAGAGGACGATGATTTATGTCAGCCATTGTGCTGTCTGTGTGTGTAATCTTTGTATTATAAAGAGCGAGGGAATAGGAGATCATGACATGACGCAGGTCTTCCATATGTGACCTTGACTCAAAACATCTGTGGAAGATGTCTGCTAACCATCAGGCCATATCATCAGCATGCTGCTGTGACCGCTTTGGTTTAACACCACTGGAACAAACCACCGTTTCCTGTAATATCTACAGTCACTAAAGGCCTGAGTGTGTCCATCATATGACGGCAGCATGCGTGTGTGTGGCTCACATGTCCATCCAGCCGTGTTCTCCGATGATCTCGATGGCTTTCATGTGTTCTCCTGCAGTCAGGTACATGTCCGCAGCCGCTCGAGGCTCTTTACTGTTCTTGGCCCAGTCTGCCTGCTTCTTCATCAGCAGCTTGGTGTCCTTGGGGTCTGCGGAGCCCAGGAAGTCCTTCAATACAAACACACTATGCTTAAACTGATCACGTCCGCAGTGGTTTCAGACAGCTAATGTAAACCGGGTCTGTGTATTCCCACAGCGTAGGTTGGATTAAGTCAATATGTGTGGACTTACATTTTTAACATATTCAAAAATATATTAAAAACACAACTCATACATACAGTGACTTAAATATACCTCTTCATACTAAAACATCATGAAGAAGAATAAAAATATATTTTTTAATAAGAAGAATAATAAGTTTTTGTAAAACAAACAAATAATCAGTGTAGCAGCTTTCTTTTTTATTTAAATATATTATTTAACTGTTTGGTAAACTTTTGTACACCAAACAAAGTCATGAACAGTGAGCAGCACGCAGACCCTCAATGTGATAAATGAGCTAGGTAATCTAAAACTAATCAAAACGTTTATAGATTACATTACTAACTACAATTTTCAGCATGTCATTTCTCTTCAGTAATGGACTACAGTTTTGTAAGGACAGAAATCCAAATCACAAAGTCTACACACATATTTTTCTGTGTATTCTGTACAGTCATTTGCACAGTCTTGCTATATGCATTAAAAAAGTCAGACAGCTGACACATCCTGTCTAGGTGGGCAGAATGAACTGCAGCAGTGAGGGCACACACACACACCTTAGCGTACTCAAACATGCGCAGGTCTGTGTACATGCTGAGCGCTCGGCTGTCATGGCCGGTTTTCCTGTAGAGTTTGGCGGCCTCGTGGAACTTGCCCTGATACGCATAGACATCAGCCAGGAAGAGCTGGTTATTACTCTCACCCCTCTTCTTCCTCTCCTGCACAAAACACACGTACAGTAAGACGCACAGATGTAGTGTTTCACGTACAGACACGCAGACCATTACCACACACACCAGCATACAAAACTCTGCACACAAACAATCACACAACTGCAGGATGATGGCCCCTGACCATTATACTGCAGAGAATTTGGCTGGATCACAAAGTCTACACACATATTTTTCTGTGTATTCTGTACAGTCATTTGCACAGTCTTGCTATATGCATTAAAAAAGTCAGACAGCTGACGCATCCTGTCTAGGTGGGCAGAATGAACTGCAGCAGTGAGGGCACACACACACACCTTAGCGTACTCAAACATGCGCAGGTCTGTGTACATGCTGAGCGCTCGGCTGTCATGGCCGGTTTTCCTGTAGAGTTTGGCGGCCTCGTGGAACTTGCCCTGATACGCATAGACATCAGCCAGGAAGAGCTGGTTATTACTCTCACCCCTCTTCTTCCTCTCCTGCACAAAACACACGTACAGTAAGACGCACAGATGTAGTGTTTCACGTACAGACACGCAGACCATTACCACACACACCAGCATACAAAACTCTGCACACAAACAATCACACAACTGCAGGATGATGGCCCCTGACCATTATACTACAGAGAATTTGGCTGAAGCTTTTGCTATTAAAACATTTCATATCTTGTTGTATAAAAGAAACACAATCAGGTTGAGAATAAGTGATGGTAGAATGTGTCTGTTCCTTTAAATCAGAATATGAACAGTGTGTGTGTGTGTGTGTGTGTGTGTGAGAGAGAGAGATAAGGGTGGCTTGTTTTCTGGGAAGGAAAGTTTGTGTTGTTCAGAAATGCTTTCGATGTCTGCAGTTCTCAATGGAAAGAATGAACTATTGAATTTCTGATGCCTACGGGTGGATAAGAGTGTGTGTGTGTGTGTGTAAGCAGTCATTTTGTGTTGCACATCTGAACTCCACAGGGAGGGGCAATGATGATTTAATCATAATAGAGAGGTCACACACTCTCACACACACTCACACTCACACGTTGGGTTTTATGGGTTCATTCCATAGGTGTAATGGTAACACTACACCTAAACCTACTCCTCACACAAAACTACAGGCATTTTTACACTCAAAACACTTCATTCATGAGGATCAAAACATGTCCCCATAAGGACAACATTTACTGAAACAGGTCAGGGTTTGTGTATCACAATGTTCAACTCTGAAAAGCTCAGCATGCTTGATGAGACATAATAAAGAGTAATGTAAACAGTGAAATAAGAGAGGACAAACATAATTCTTCACTAAGGAACACTTTTGATACTTGAACACAATACAAATGATGATATAAATACTTATCTAACTGAAAATTATTGTTTAGCTCTTAGGAAGAAAATACAAGCGCTCAAGCCCACAGGAGCTCATTCACATACATCACTGAGGCCTTGTTTCAGAAATGTGGCAATTACATTCAAAAGAAAAAATGACAGTAACTTATAGTAATTGGAATGTATGAAAATGCAGCATTTTGCAGTTTTAGTACTTCTCATATTAAAAAATATATTTTTAAAAAGTACAAATCTATCCTAGAATGATTTGAATTTTTTTTACATTTAAAATCACCTATAGGGCAGAAAATGGCCTCTAATTGAAGAATTGGATGAGATGAGGAGTGTAACATGAGGCATGTGTGTGATGTCTTACTTCAATGCTGTTGATGAGCTCCAGATAGCGCAGATCTCGAACCCTGATGAACGCCTGATGAGAGTGACACAAAGACAAATATATCCTGAAACATGTTAAAAACAGGATGACGGGGGAAAGCTGTGGGTGCGTGCCTCACTTTCTTGGCGGTGTGAAAATCGAGTCCCTCCAGAGCCTCTGTGGCCAGATCCCTCCAGTCATTATCCGTCACACCCAGACAGGCGATCTGATAGGCCTCCTGAAACATGCGTCGCTCCAGGTACTGATACATCGGAGCAGACTGCACAGATCAACCAGAATGACAATCAGCTAACGTGGTCCAAGTATGTCCAAGAGGATGAAAAGGAAAAGTCTCATTTGAAATGGATGTGCCAAAGTCATGTTATTCAGGGGTACAACATTTTTTGACAGGGTTGTTGTTTCAACAAAACATGTTAACCAGGACCATGCCATTTACTGCACAACATCAGGAGGTGCGAAATGTCTTTACAACTGGATTAGATTTGGAATACTGGAAATATTTAAAAGAAACAATTGAATGTAGTTTCTCAGTCTTGTTAACAGGCCTACTGCCAATAACTTTACTTTTGTACATTCCATGTGGATTTCATTTACACACAGATCACCCGTTACCAAGCTCATTCTCCATCATTTCCCAATCAATGGGAGACTGAACCGGTTTCTCGCACCTGAGGCACCTCCACTGCGGCCATAGAGTAGACGTGAAGGCAGAAGATCTTGGATCCGTTGTAACCCACCACAAAGCCCTGCAGTTTCTGCTGGTGCACTGGGAAGTTACTGGCCTTGATGTTCAGATATCCACTGCCAGAGAAACACAGCATGTCCTCACACTGCGTGTTCCACGCCACACTGTTGGCATTGGGCTCCTACAGAATCAGAGAAACACAGACACAGGGACACCAGTCAGGGCATCTGATTGCTAACTGTGCTGCTGCTGGTCATGCACAGGCTCAGACTGAAGCTCATCATGACCTGGAAGAGCAGCTCCTTGGTGTGAATGTCGTACACGAGGCAGGTGTTGTGTTCGTCCACTACAGCGAGCTTGCTGCGTGATGTGCTCATGTCCAGACAGCGCACTGAAGTGTTCTGCTTCAGCAGTGTGATGGCAAACGGGTTGTCCACGAAGATCTTCAGGATCTACACACAAACAAACCGAACTATTTACACTGCTGAGACGGAAGAAAAGAAGCTGCATTCATGTAGCACTAGACAGAAACAAAACACATCACACAATAGCAATAACTATGACTTTCAAGATCACATACAGCTCCATTCTTCAGCCCCACTAGAAGCCCCTCTCGTCCCGGCGGGCCGCCGATCACTTTAATGTAGCGAATGAGAGACTCCATCAGCCACTCTTTCTCTCTGACGGCCGTGAAGGACAAACACTGCAGTCTCTTCTCCTACACACAAACACACACACACACACACACACACAGAGAGGACAGGTTACATCTCATCTCTCACTTTCTTTCTTTTTTAATCACTCAACATATTTATATATAGTGGCCCCAAAATATATCCTGACAGCTAGGTCTCACTTACAAAATGACTGAATAACAGTGCATTTAATAACAAAACACCCAAGCAAGCAGCATTTATTTGAAAGAGAGCAAACAATGAAGGAAAAAAAAATCTTACATAAAGAAGCAATGAAACAACAGATATATAGGGGCAGCTTTTGCTGGCGCAAACCATCTTTTGGCGTTAAAACAGTACTGTCAGGTTTTACTAAAGATGCGCAGTGAAGAATTAGCGCTGAAAAAAAGGTGTGGACAGTTATTTTTGCGCCTGACCTTATTAAAAATGCATTTGTTGGAGTTTCCCTTTCATATGCAAAATTTATGGGATGAGAGTATTCAAATGAATCACGCAACGAGATTTACAAACGTTTTGCAGCTGATCAAATATAATCTGTAATGTCCAGGTTATCACTGTGAGTGATGGAAAATGGGGTTTTACTTAAATTTTCACGTAAAGAAACAGACTGTGGCTTTTTTCAGCTAGACGCTGTAAGCACAGTTTAAAAGTTTACTAAAAAGATGCACTTGGATCACAAATGTGTTTGATTCTCCCTTGCAAAATATGTTTGGTTTATCATCACCAAGCAACGGATGTAGTTTTGACTCACTCCTGTTACTGAACACTACACATCAACTGAAAAGCAAGTCTTACTAAGTCTGCTGGGACGCATGAAATTGGGGCTCAGCTTCAATACTGGTGGGTCGGTCAGTTATCTGGCTGCCTATCCTGGACTGACAATGAACAAAGACATTTGTTTTGCTCCTCCTTACTAAAGTGGCCATTTGTTAGTCATAAAGTCGCTGGAGAGCTGATAGTGATCAAGGCCTGCTGGATGAGATGTTTAGACACGGAGGGTCTGCCGAGTGTCAGAAGAGAGCAGCTGTAGTTTAGCATGTGCTTTAGTTACATGTTGAAGGGTTCGCTGGGCTTTGCTCTTCCTCTATCATGCTGGACAATCAGGCCAGACTTATGACACTTTTAAGATGGTAAATGTTGTCATTTTTGATCACTTTATGCTTCTGATGCACAGCAAAGAGCAGCACTGATATTCTGCCAAACACTTGTGTATGTTTATGGAGGAAAGACTGACTTTATAATGACAGGAAGATGAGAAAATGAGGAAATTAATGTTCAGCTGTTTCTTTAACTGTAGTTCTCTGCAGGGGATCACTCTTGATAAAAGCGTCAAGGATAATAAATGACTAAATACATTAAACAAATCACACTCTGAAGGCACTCTGACCAACTCGTCTAGACAAAACACTTTCTGTGTGTATTTCTGGAGTTTGAATGGGCTGCTTCATATCACAAGAGACGGGTCAACATCTGACCTGACCGCCAAACACAGCCTCTCAGTCATCCTACAGCTCCGTGTTTGATCACGCTTCAGATAACACTGCGTGACCACACGTCTTTCATATGAGATCATGCACACACAGTATGCATCTGAATAAAGCCCATTCTTAGGACCATTGAGACCCTTTCATTCGGTCACATAACTGTAATGCAAAAGAGCCCATGGTCATCACTGAAATGTGGTAAAAATAATGATACAGCGGTGGCCAAAATCATTAGAACACTAGTACTGTCACCAGCTAAAAATGTTTTGAAGTCAGTTATTTCTATCTTTTGCTGTAGTGTGTCAGTAGAAAATATCAGTTTACATTTCCAAACATTCATTTTGCCATTAATTGTAATAATGCAGTGAGATTTTTGTGCATATTTTGTGCAAACATATTGGCCTCCACCGTAAATTATTTGAGCTATAAAGTTTTCACAAACAATGGTAGGGTTTGTTGTTATGCACTTATTCTTGCAGATTTCACTGAAAAACAGAGACGTCAGAATCAGGCACAGGCTGATCACAAACACTAGAGCCTTCAGGACAGCCACACTTCCGCTGCAGAATTATGAGAAGGATTGTGCCATATTAACACATGAATGTATTGTGTGTCTCTGCTTGAGAACTATTACATATGAAGCTGCGCCGTCTAGTGGAATCATTCATGGGATACTGATCATGAAATCAAGACGTCAGTTCAGAGTCTGACGAGAGCAGAATTAAAAGACAAAACAAGAATCTGAAAACCTGGCAGCAGCTTTAGCCACAGAAAGTCTTGTGATGCCAGTGTCATAGCAAACCACTGATGGACCAGAATGCGTAGAAACCTCCAGACAAACACTTTTCTTGAAGATTCTTTCTCAAAAACTCCTCACAGTTTAGGACGCTGTGAGAATACCCCCAAAAAATAATTTGTCACTTTGACAGACTGGCATCATGCTCTGCTTTTATCCATCAGCCAAATAATGTAATGTATCTTTTAGGAATAAAGATTAGACCGTGTTGTGGAGCAGTCATATAGAAATCACCATTCTTCACTCGCTGATCTTCTGATGTAGCATTACGTGATCTGGCACATGCATCTGGATGCGTAATGTTTTACTCTGGCTCTTTACCTGACACAGAATGATGTGCTGTGAGCAGACGACGAGCAGGTTGCACTCGAAGCGCTTGCAGATCTTCTCTTTGACGCGGTAATGCATGTCGGAGGAGTCATCGGAGAGCAGCTCGTAGATCAGGATCTTCTCGGGAAGCTGGATGGCCAGTCGGCTGCGGTAGATGGCGATCTTCTTCACCAACTCACGGCATTTGATCCGTACTAAGAGAGAAGGTTGGGGAAAAGTCAAGAACATTCCGACAAAGACACAGACGGATCACATTGAAGGCTATCACTAGGAATTATGGGCCTGTGACTGTACACACAGTATCTGAGGTTTACATATTTGGGTCCAGGGATGCCCTCGCAATAATAAAAAGATCTAACAAAATGCATTTTTATGGATGTCAAAGTTAGCACTTTAATGCAAACATCTTGTCTTTTAAAACACATTTACTGAATTTCAGGGATGCACCAAAGTATCGGCTGCCGATATTTATCAGCCGATTTTTTATTATTTTAAAGCCATCGGCTTATCGGAAATAGCATGAAAAGGGCTGATACTGATGGTTCATTAATTAACTGCATGGAGACAATGAGTTGCATGTCTGTTGCATAATCTAATGTTTTTCTCTGGGCAAAATAATGAAGTACTTGCTAAAACAAAATAAAATCTGTACAAAATATAGTTTGTCAGACGGCATAGTACGGCCTATGCAAACGTGACGCTGACGCATCCAACGAGTGAAACGCGCTCAGCTGTACATTCAGCATAGGTAAGTCGCAATGGCAATGCACTGACGTTAGTTTACCCATGGATACATCATGATCCGCCAAGCATTAGGCCTACATTTAAGTGAAAATTAATGGCAGGTAATATGCAGCTTTGAAACCAGCAAAAATGGCTGGATAATGTAGAACACGGATTCACACAAGGTCACATTACGCACCTGCAGCACTTCTATGAACGGAGAAAACAGAATAAAACTATATAGGCTACATAAAAAGGAATATATAGGTCTATACACAAAATATATTTCACTTAAATCATTAACAGATTAACAAAACGAAAGAAAAAATTGTGGTTAGTTTGGATCATTGTAACGTGCTCCAAAGTTCACAGAAAGGAAACCGAGAGTGATCGCGTCGGTGCCTCACACACACTTACCACATATTTATGCTAACTTGACATCGCAGCCTGTTCATTATTAAAATAAAATACAGTTAAAGAAACATAAAAAGTTACACTGCTCAATTTGAATAGTGCGCAGTACAGTCTGTGCCGTTCAGCGTGACCAGCGCCTCACTGTATGTCTATAATGCCAGTGAAGAACAAAGCCTATAATTTACATAATAAACCGGTGCCTCACACACACTTACCACATATTTATGCTAACTTGACATCGCAGCCTGTTCATTATCAAAATAAAATACAGTTAAAGAAACATAAAAAGTTACACTGCTCAATTTGAATAGTGCGCAGTACAGTCTGTGCCGTTCAGCGTGACCAGCGCCTCACTGTATGTCTATAATGCCAGTGAAGAACAAAGCCTATAATTTACATAATAAATAATATTTTAGCATCCAGATACGTCGCGGATATAGAAACATTTGGATTCGTGCAGAATGAGAGAGGTAGGCTTCAGTTTCACTTTTAAATTAATTTGTTTTGGCTTGCCATTTACATTTAGCGTAAATACAACTTTAGAGGATTTGTTGTGGAGAGAAGGGAACTAAAATAGCCTAATTGTGTCTGTAATAATGTTTGTAAACATTTTGCTTTATTTACTGGTATTTTAGCTTACATTATTTCTGAATGTAATAATAAAATGTGACGTACAGCCTATTAATTTAGTTTTTTTCCTATCAAAACGCTTATAGGAGTAGCTTTTTTTATTCATGCTGCAAACATTTTTAAATATCTTGAAAAAATACTTTAATGTCTTTAAAGCGTTGCCAGTTTTTTTCTTTTGTTCAATACATTTGGTCAAAATCTAGAAAAGATGATGCTGTATTGGCTATGACAAGTACCGGACCAAGACTCTCTTTGTATTTTTTCTTTTTGAGTAAAGAAAACGCTGTACTTTATTATTATTATTATTATAGAAAAAGTTTTTAAAATAATGTTATTAACCGGTATTTTTTCTACTAAAATCGGTTTCTGAATGGTATTAATACAGAGGAACACAGGGACAGAAACATTCAAATACCGATTCTGCTCGGAGTGAACCGATCTATTTTTTTTTCTTCTGTTTTTAAGCCCTGCTTTATGCAATTGACCAATATCGGCATCGGTATCAGCTAATAGTTGATTGTTAAAATCGGTATCGGCATCAGCCAAAAAATTCCTATTGGTGCATCCCTACTGAATTTAATATTGCTTCATTATGCTTTCTAAAGATGAAAATGGCCAAAGTTTAATGGACAGTCTATAGTTTAAAAAAGTAAGAAAAAAATGAAATTTGCATATGCAGAGACTTTATCTCTCCTTCCTTACATGGGCGACACGCATATGATCAAAGATAATTAGTATTTTAACTGTTTAATCTGTCTCCTCGCCACTATCACCATTAGCATACATATATGCTGTATACTAGGGATGCATGATATTGGATTTTGCCGATATCTGATATGCCGATAATTTTCTACTCATTTTGGCCAATAGCTGATGCCATTATATAATAAATTTTAATTTTGGTTAATTTTTAACAAGAACTTATTTGTTAGAATTAAATAAACAACAATTAAGTTATTTTAGAATGACGGTACATTGAAGATTTGAAAATAACTATAAATAAACTATATATTAATCACTGCATTTTTTTTCAGAAAGATGCAGTGGTAATCTTAACATTTTATTTTATGATTTAACATTTGTAAATGGTCTAAAGCAAAAGAGTTGTAAGAATTTTGAAAAACTTTTAGAGCTCATAATTTGTTAAAAAAAATATAACACGTTATACAATATTACACATTGAATAAATCAGTATATATAAAAAATGTTTTTTTTCATGTAAGCTATAGCTTCTGACCTTTAAATCAAAACATACTCATGATTTTATGGCATCGATTACTGCTTTATTTAATCAGAAACACAGTCTAAATATTACTTGTGTATTTTGCTTTCATCTTATTAAAAGTAGGCCAACAGCGCACCCTACATATTAAAACTTCTTACTGAGCGGGCGTTAGGACCTGGGGGCGGCTGCCACTGCTGCACCTGCTATTACTGTTTACTCTATCATACACCGAACGCGTCATTCTGTACGTGCTTTCAGATTAAATGCAGCGATCCAAAACAGTGAATCTAATCATCACAGACAAACCTTTGCTTCAAGAATGAGCCACAATGCTGACGTGATCTAATCGCTAGCACACCCTGAGCTCATGCGAGTTAATGTATTCCTCTAATTGGCAAGACATATCGGCATAATGTTTCATATCGGGCCGATGCCGATATTTGCATTTAAAGCCATCATCGGTCGATTCCGATATTGGTCTGATAATATTGTGCATCCCTACTGTAAACTAATTAATTTACAAATGGAGACTAAACCTAAAGGAACATACAGTTACACACATGCTGCAGTAAGAGCTTACGGCTGAAGTGAAACATGTTCTCTTGAGTTTGAGAGCAGCATGTTTGAATATGATGAACCTGTATGTGGTGGAGGATTTTCTGGTCACCTTTCTGCTCAGTGATGAGGTGCTGTACGATGACGTCTGTCATGCTGTCTCTGTAGGCGTAGCGGTCCTTATATAAGCCATGGACCGTGCTGAAGATTAGCTGGAAAAAGGCGATGGTGCCGTCCTGACAGCCTAAAACCTGCACAACACAAGCTTCTGAAGAGTGTGATGCTCAACCACCACAAATATCCATCAAAGAGCTCGCAACCACACTAATTAAAGAATGCAAATCAAAACACAAAAAGAGTGACATATCGATTGATCGCTCTCCTTTTTAAAATAATTTTCCAATGTCTGTGAAAGACTGGTGACTGATTTATAAAACACAGTTTGAGAGAAAAACAGAGCTGTGATTTTTAAACCAATATGTGAGGTGATTTTCACATAACTAATTAACTCAGTCACACATCTCCGCTCTGATTAGATATGCACTGTAAGAGTTTACACCTTTAATCTCTCCTTCTATTAATAAACAATAGCTTTAAATAGAGGCGAGTGATGACAACAGTCAATCTCACAAACATATTTCACCCCTCAAAGAAGAAACAAAGGAAGAAATTATCGATTGAATGGAAAAAATGGTCTATTTTGTCTAAATTGTCAAAGTATTTAGGACCATTAGGGGTTTTGCATTGTGACATTATTTCTTCCCCTGACTAATTCTCATAACTCTAAGGCAACAAAAAATATATTATTATATATCATATGTATTATTATTTGCACAATAATATATTAAAACAAATTTAGCAATGAATATAATGACAGTAACCTTTTTTTTATTTGACTTTTGAGATGAAAGGTGAACTAGACATATTTTTGTGAGATTCACAGGCTTTTCTTTATTTATAGAATTCATTTTGATTTAACACCATTGTATCAGGTTTTTCGTTCAAACATGGTTGCATCATGTTAAGCACACTTGAAATGGTTACTTTTTGGCTTAACTTGATGTTTTCATTTTGAAAGAACATGTAGCTCAAAATAAGTTTTACACTTCCCACCATGCTTTGCACAGGACTGGATATGGGGAGACAAAATGTCAAAAAGTGTTATTTTATGCAATTTTTAGCAAGATGAGAAAATATGGAGACTTGTTAATGCCTAATATTGTATTATGATGGCCATTATTTGGCTGAACTTGCATAAACAGTGGTTCTACACGATGGAAACATGTTATCTCTACTCAAACACTTCATGTAGGATAAACTAAAGCAAACTGAGTAAACTCAACTTAAAATTAGACATGTCCAAATAACATGATTCAGTCATGTGGAACCACTGTCCATGATTTACGATGTTTCTCTTTGCACATGTACAGTATTATGTGATGCATCCGTATAGTCTGTATTTTTTTTATTTATGCATAGGTAAACATTTATATATATATATATATAGTATACTCATAGTCAAAATCAGTCAGTAGGCTAGTTGTGTATAGGTTTTACTGTTTTACTTCATTGTTGTATGCCTGTATTTATGTAGCACCGTGGTCCTGTGAGGCACGACATTTCGTTCCACTGTATGTCACCACATGTAGCAGAATGACAATAAAGCTCTCAACTTGACTTGACTTGATAAAGCTCCTAGCACACCTAACTACCCTCATGAATGAATGATCCATGAATAACCCGAGAGATGTCTGACCACATAGTTGGAGTCTGGCTTGACTCGGCAGGTCCAAACCCAGGAGCTCTGCTCCCCGATGGTGCCCAGCCGGACTCCGTCTCTAGTGTAGAGCGAGGCCTGTTTGTCAGAGCCGCCCATCACGATGTACTCGCCCTTAGAGAAGAAGCTGACGCAGCACGGGTCGAAGCTCAGCTGCCGGTCCTTCCCGATCTGCAGAAGCATGAGAACATGCTGCGGCTCTTTTACTGCTTTCACATAACATGCTGCACTACTCACTGCCATAAAACACGATCATCTAACACCAACTCTGAAATGCTGTGCCAACCTTCTGTGGTTATTAGACAGCCAAATATTTAAAATAAACACTTATTCTAATCAGCTTAAGACCTGTCGCCATCTGAAATACTGGGGGATCACATAAAAATGTGGTGATATTCCTCAGGGAATTTATTTTTATGCTATGACTCTGATGCAGATCTTCACAATTCTGTCTACAGATGCAGTTCAGCATAAAGCCAACTAAACCTAAAGCCTTAGTATCAGGAACCTTATACAGACATTTATTATCACCGCACACACACACACCATTCACAAAAACATGCACATCTGCACTGTCAGCTTTGTAAAAGAACACCCTTAAAATCACCTGCACAAAACTGATCATATATGTTGTTGATAAATGGCTCAGATGTTTGCAATCTCTGGTTGTATCAGAGCGAGTTTGAGACGATGCAGCGATGCAGTCAGATATTCATGATGAAGCTCCTCCAGTTATCCTCAACACTGGGAGAAGCTACTACACTACTGAATAACAGCCCTTTTCATTTTTTTGGATAAGTTGCTGTTTCCAGTTATTACAAAGTTAAAAGCATTATGGTTTTAAGAGGCTGATGAGTATTTTCACTTCTGAAATGTTCTCGGAGCACGACATTTTTTTTCAAAGCAGCTAAAAGCCTATGGCTGTGTGCGAAACACAGAAACGCACGCACACACACATTCAAGAGTGATGTTCACCATCAGCCCCCTTCACTCTCAATAAACTACGAGCTTCTCACTGGATAGAAGCGTCTGCTAAAAGAAGAAACGCAAATGTACTTCTTAACCACTTGGCTCCATTGTAGTATGCAACCATTCATTCAATTCCCAATTACCTGTAGCGTCTCGACCAATCTGACACACTAATTTTTATTTGATTTAACAAATCAATTATTCATTAGATTAACAAATCGTCACAGTCCCCTAACTCAAACTGGATGCCAGGATTTCTGCTGAACACCATCCCCTCCTTGGTCACCATGACAACTAATCATGATATCACTGGTTTTATGGAGAGGTCAGCTAAATATCTACAGCGGATCTAAAATATTCATAATTAGTTATGGTTAATTATTCATATTTCCCATGAGCTGATTCGCTACATACCTTTACACATGCCTTTTTGTGGCTGCATATATAGAGCTGACAGAGGAAGAGAGAAAGCTAACAGGATAGTCATGTTTTTCATTTGTTATGAACGCATGTCTGTCTTGTGTCTGGTCTCTCACATCTCAGCCGTTGCAGTATTTGGCCAAAAAAACCATGCCGCAGTGGTTTGCTTTAGCGAACATCCCCTCGTCAGTGCTGTTCCCTGTAAAGAACTGCAGCGTTCAGGACAGCGAGAATTGGAATTTACGAGCTCTGTGAATAGCAGAGTAATGAAGGCAGCATGTTTGTTCAGACAGCACTGGAGGTGAGCGACTACATTACAGCTGCATAATGAGCACTGCATATTTTCCTTTAATTACTACACTTCCCATGCTCACCTGAGGCAGCACACATGTGTGTGTGTGTGTGTGTGTGTGATCATAATGTTTTCCAGCAGAGCTGACGTCTTCTATAAAACATGATCACTTTCACTCAGCTCCATGTATTTATAGAGAACGTAAGGGAAATACTCCTGCTCATCTGAAATGAACTATTGTACTATGTTAAGTCCCAGTCGTGATGGATAGTCTGTGTGGAGTGTTTAGCAGATATGATGGTCTCAGTGTTTCATGGTCCTGACGCTATAGGGAAACACAGATCTGTCCTTTTGAAGCAGGAGATAGGACAAGTAAAGGCAAAGATCAGGCAGCACTAATCAGATTGGAATTAGAAACACTACATGACTGATTCGCAGTCTGGACGAGTCAACAATAGTGCCCAAAGTCAGAGCCGGTCTGCAGAATTCGGGCAGTCAGAGCTGAGAGATTTCACAGAAAGTTGTGTCGTGCAGTGGTTCTCAATTCCAGACCGGCCCCTGCTCTGCACAGTTTGCATGTCTCCCTTATTTAACACACCTGATTGAGATCATTAGCTTGTTAGGAGAGAGATCCATGAACTGAACTAACCAGCTGATGATCTCAATCAGGTGTGTTAAATAAGGGAGACATGCAAAATGTTCAGAGCAGGGGCCGGTCTAGAATTGAGAAGCACTGCTGTAGTGTCTCATACACTGTGTATGACGGTAAGAGACGGTGATATCAGTCTGGTGTCTGAGCCTCCGCAGCTCGACAGCGCCACACCTTTAGTGTGAATCTGTGGAGAGAAATAGAACTGCAGCTGCTCTAATGGATTCGATTATTCTCAAGTGACCTTACGCTCCAGATCAAGTATGCCACAGTCAAGCGCTTCCGCTGCTTCCGCTCGTGTGTACGTGGGGTAAAGCAGCGGAGCTTTTATTATGCCACAGTCGAGCGCTTCCGCTGCTTCCGGTCGTGCGTATGTGGGGTAAAGCAGCGGAGCTTTTATTATGCCACAGTCGAGCGCTTCCGCTGCTTCCGGTCGTGTGTATGTGGGGTAAAGCAGCGCTGTTTTATCATACTAGATACATTTGAAAGTTCTGTTATAATGCTACTCTGTGCGGTCGTCACCGGTCTATTAAAACGCACAACATATTAAAGTGTCTTTGGTGTTTCCATGTTTTCTTCAAAACAAAACCGTAAATCAAGGGGTTATGACATCATTGGCAGGCGACACAATGACACGATGGACACGCTCCGTGTCACTAGTTAAAATTGCTTATTTCTCTGGATTTAAACATTCTTCGAAACATTTGGGATAATGTAAGTACACAAGTCAGTAAAATATATAACACCGTTCTAGTGGTTTTTGGATATTTTAATTACAAAATCTTACATATTGTGCCTTTAACTATCAAGAAGAATAGCTGAACATAAGTTCACAAATAAAATGATTAAATAAATGTTGCTGCATTGAGTTATTATTTTGGAATAAATGTAAAATGCTTAAAGACACATTCATACTTGGCTTTAATAAAAAGAATATTGATTGCATTGTTAAAGTAAAAATATAAAATAGATTTTCTTTTCTTTTTCTGCTAGTGTAAGTAATGTTTATTTAAGAAAATGTGACTGGGACATGCATTTATAGACGATAGACAATATCCAAATACAGACGAACAAACAAAAGGACCTATGAGTGATAGTGTTCAGCTACTTGATCAGTGAGCACTTCTCAGTCAACACTAAATCTCTCTCTGGCGTGAGTTTGACATGATCATTTGTATTGTCACAGCATAATAAAAACATATTCCACACACAAACCTGCTTCCCACTGAGCTGGTAGAACGACAGCCTCTGTCCCCAATCAGCCACTGCCAAGATATCGTTGTGTTCATCCCTGAAACACACACACACACACACACAAACACACGCAGTGTGACACATGGCCATTCAAGAACACTGAGGAACATCTATCCTGTCCTGTGTGCTTTATCGGAGACATCTGCTGCTCAGACTCCATCATCATCCATCACCTACAGTACCTACTGACTGAGGAGAAGGTGCTCATATGCAACCCCACAATGCAATGAGCTGCGTTTCAAAGACACACTGATATAAACATGTATACATGTATGTAAACCACTGCATGTCTGTGAAAGTGCTAATTATTTCATATGGAGAAACTGCCAGCTTTACACATTACTGCACCTGTAATTCAGCTTTACTTTTTATACCCATTTTTATCAAATGACAGTAGGTGTGAATTCACACTCTGACAGCTCTAGACATATATAAAGCATATATACATACTTGTTTTTGTTTAAATGTGATGTGACGGTGAGAGGACACACTGCTGTTCCTGCACACCTCTGATTACACCGGTAAAACACCGTGTTTGTAGGCTGAAGTTTGGGGAAAAGGAGATTTCCACTTCCAAAACTACGGCGTGAAAACGGTTTACAGGCTCAGTGTGCTGTTCTCGTGTCAGAGCTAGACTCTGACATCAGGGACGTGACACAGATCAGATCCAACCCTAGTTAAATCATTCATGGTGTTCAGGAACTCTGAAGGAAAGAGGCTCTCCAAGACCAGCACTGAGGAGTTCAGAGAGCTTTTACTGCATTGCCAGACTGAGTTTAACACTTTCTCAGGAGTCTGAGCAACAGTGACAGCGAACAGCACAGATCAGAGACAGTGGAGTGTGTGGCTGTAGATGAACTGAATGACTAGAGCAACAGAGCCCCCTGCTGTCTGATGTGCAAACTGAGCACTCATTATGAATGTACACAAATAAACACTATTGACAAAAACTAGAAGAGCATCTGACGCTAAAATAACACTCCATCACTGTAAAAAAAATGCTGCTGCAATTAGTTATAGCAACTTAATAAATAAACTTAAATATTCAACTTAAGTAAACTGAAGTTAACTAAGCCTATAATTTTAGATCAAGCACGAACACTTACTTGGACGGGTTCCAGGCAATGGACCAGATGGGCGATGAAGAGCCCCCCGGACGCTCGATCTTCACCTTCTCCTCTCCATTCTTGTTTCTGACGCTCACCACTCCATTCATCATTCCCAAAGCCAAGTACTGGCCGTCATTAGTCCACCTGAGATCACCAGCAGACACGTCACACATCACACAGCCCTTCACCGCAGCACAGCGTGATAAACCTCCTCAAACTCACCCGCAGCACGTGATCTTACTGCTGACTTTATGTTTGGAGACAGACTTCTGCTCCGGAGACCACAGACCTGCAACCCAAAGCAAACACGTCAGAGAAAAGAACACTGCAGCGTTTGTCAAATCTCTTATCACACAAACAGCCTTCTGACTGCACTACGTTCACTCACATTCATGCACGTCTTATCTGTCAAATCAAAGCCGAGTTTGCCATTAGGTCAGAAATTTGCTTCCTCTGGACATTAACGTGTGTTTTCTGTGATACACTCACTGCTGTTCTGCTATTACGGCATCATGTGTCTGAAACATAACTCTGTGTTTGACTCACTCAAACGTATGTGGTTCAGTGATCCGATCCGATATTCAGCCGGTGGATCACCAGAAACATCTTAATACCAGGTGCTAACATGATATTTTACAGCAAGCTTCTGTGGAAGCTTCTGTCACGAAAACAAATTCCTCGTATGTGTAAACATACCTGGCAATAAAGCTCATTCTGATTCTGAATCAATAGTTCACCCAAAAATGACAATTTGCAAAAAATAGCCTATTCCCGAGAATATAGTCCATTTTGGACTATCTGTAGCTTGTTTATTGAAGATGCAGGACAACCAGCTAGCAGTGCATTACGATTAGGGTTGGGAACCGAGAACCGGTTCTTATTAGTCACCACTGATAAGCTACTAGTAAATATAATGTAGAAACTTACAATTTCTGTGAAGCAGCTTTGCAACAATTGTATCGTGAAAAGCGCTATTCAAATAAAAGTGAATTGAATTGAATTGATTAAGCACCTGTCAGTCTCTCGTTTCAGTTGTCATTGATGTGTCACAGTAGTGAATGGGTTTGTGAATGCTGACACACACACACACACACACACACTCACCGAAGTCTCCTGAGGAGCACGAGGCCAGCTGGTGTGTGACGGGGTTGTAAGCCACACACTGGATTGAATCATTGTGACTAAGAGAGAAAACACACACAAACACACTATCAGTGAAGTCTGGTCTGACGGACGGCAGCACGGCATGATGGGACCCTGTGACTAAATGAAACACTAAGATAATAAACGTCATCATAATTATATGATTATTATAAGCACAGAAGCTCACGTGTATTTGAGGATGCCCTCCAGTTTGGAGGTCCAGATGATGATGCTTTTATCTGCTGAACCGGATGCGAAGCGTTTCCCTGCGGGACAGAGAGGAGGAAAGTCACACAGACGCACATGATGCACTCACAGTTAATCAGATACAGGATGATATCATTACCAATCCATCACGCTCCCTAAGGTCGCAAAACTCTGGACTTTTGGTAGTACCTAGGATATCAAAGTCCACTAAAGGAGGTAGAGCTTTTTCACATTTAGCACCCAAACTCTGGAATAGACTTCATGATAACGTTCGGAGTTCAGACACACTCTCTCTGTTTAAATCTAGATTAAAGACACATCTCTTTGGCCAAGCATTCACATAATGTATCTCGTAACCTTGTACTTCAGTTTAGGGTTGGGAACCGAGAACCGGTTCTTATTAGTCACCACTGATAAGCTACTAGTAAATATAATGTAGAAACTTACATTTTCTGTGAAGCTGCTTTGCAACAATTGTATCGTGAAAAGCGCTATTCAAATAAAAGTGAATTGAATTGAATTGATTAAGCACCTGTCAGTCTCTCGTTTCAGTTGTCATTGATGTGTCACAGTAGTGAATGGGTTTGTGAATGCTGACACACACACACACACACTCACCGAAGTCTCCTGAGGAGCACGAGGCCAGCTGGTGTGTGACGGGGTTGTAAGCCACACACTGGATTGAATCATTGTGACTAAGAGAGAAAACACACACAAACACACTATCAGTGAAGTCTGGTCTGACGGACGGCAGCACAGCATGATGGGACCCTGTGACTAAATGAAACACTAAGATAATAAACGTCATCAATGCTGACACACACACACACACACACACACTCACCGAAGTCTCCTGAGGAGCACGAGGCCAGCTGGTGTGTGACGGGGTTGTAAGCCACACACTGGATTGAATCATTGTGACTAAGAGAGAAAACACACACAAACACACTATCAGTGAAGTCTGGTCTGACGGACGGCAGCACAGCATGATGGGACCCTGTGACTAAATGAAACACTAAGATAATAAACGTCATCATAATTATATGATTATTATAAGCACAGAAGCTCACGTGTATTTGAGGATGCCCTCCAGTTTGGAGGTCCAGATGATGATGCTTTTATCTGCTGAACCGGATGCGAAGCGTTTCCCTGCGGGACAGAGAGGAGGAAAGTCACACAGACGCACATGATGCACTCACAGTTAATCAGATACAGGATGATATCATTACCATCTTTAGCATAAGCCACACAGTACACGGTGTCTTTGTGTCCCTTCAGCGGCTGAATCAGCGTGCCGTCAGCTGTGTCGTACACCTGCACACACACACAGACACACACACACACACACACACACACATATCTTGGCAAAGGAGAAGTGCTCACTAACACAGATTTAGACAGATTTGTGAACAATATTTGAGAGAAACAGGCCTTTTGTGTACATAGAAAAAGTCTTAGATCTTTGAGTTCAGCTCATGAAAAATGGGGGCAAAAACAAAAGTGTTGCGTTTATAATTTTGTTCAGTGTATATTTGGACACTGACACAATTACAGCGAGTGTCATGGCGGATGCCCAAATCAAGTAACATTTTATAAATAGTACTGTTTTTGTGTTTATGTAGTTTTAAATGGTTTTCAGGCGAGAATGTACTTGTTTATAGTTCAAATATGCAGTTTGTTAATAAAGACAACATCTATTTGAAAATTTGCGTGTTTGAAAAACATTGCGTGTTCGTGATTGCAGTTGCATTGTTTCGCCGTTAGATGGTGACAAGAGATGGTATACAATATTATATTATATTATATTATACGTTTCATAATAATATATAATTTACTTTAAATAAAAAATATATAGGCCTATTATAGTATATAATAAAGAGACGTTATCTCCGGGTCCAATACGTGGCTGGTTATCGTGCACATCAGCAAGTCACTGATAGATTTTTTCCCCCAGTCTTTGAAGCATATTTCCTACATTACATCATTTTTTTGTTTAGTCATTTAATTTAGATGTGTATTTCTATTTTACTGCCCTTTTTAATTATTTCGTTTATAAATTCATTTTAAAAAAATGAGTAATAAAGTGTACAATAAAGTACAATCATATCCTTATATTATAATCACATTGCACTTGAATAAAGGTAAAGGTGTAATCTGCCGATTGTCCTGCAGGTGACCGCATAAATCTGTCTTCTTACGATGCACTGAGGGCTTTAAGATTACTCCAGAGTACTCGTAGATCTGCGCTGATTTTCAAGTGCTACTTAAGTTACGATGCTTTTGGGAAACGGACCGTAATATTAAGATCAATCGTACAATCGTTTTTACGAACTTCTTAGGCTTACAAAGCTTTTTCTTAACGCAGTCCTGAGCAGCAAAATCACCCTCAACAGATGAAAGTATATTAAAGGGGTCATATGATGCGATTTCAATTGTTCCTTTCTCTTTGGAGTGTTACAAGCTCTTGGTGCATAAAGAAGATCTGTAAAGTTTCAAAGACTAAAGTCTCAAATCCAAAGAGATATTCTTTATAGAAGTTAAGAGTCAGCCACGCCTACCTAAAACGGCTCGTTCTAACACGCCCCCACATGTCTACCTCACTATGTGGGAAGATTTGTGTAACGCCGCCCAAATGTTCACGCTAAGAAAGAAGACGTAACTTTTATTCTCGCTGTAGTATTCTTGTTGCCGCCACTATGTCGTGAAGGCACTGTGTGTTTCGTTGTGAAAGCGAAACTATTTTGTTTGGTCTTCCAAAAGAGGACGATATCCGCTTCGTCATGCCTGGAGCTGATCCGTGCTGGTCGGAAATACATCAACTTAGTGCTGTCGATCGCCGGACCGGCTTTCACCGTGGACGAAGCAGAGTCCAGCCCGGGGTCGTCACATGTGGTTGCTGCAAGCCCTCCGGACGCTCCTTCGTCGAATCCGCCGGCCGTGCCGATCTCAACCCCGCTGCCTCCGCTCACTCTAGCCCGCCGTGTGTGACGCTGTGTGATTCATTGTGAAAGCGAAACTACTTTGTTTGGTCTTCCAAAACAAAGACAATGCTTTCCTCAGCAGATATTCAAACTAAAGTTTATTGTGAATATGAGACTGAGCTGAAGAATGAATGCTGTATCAGATGCAGGTAATCACACTCTCAGTCCATCTCTCTCTCATGATACTCTACATAATACAGCAAGCTTTTAATACAGTAATCTCTTAATGAAGCAACTCAACGCTCCTTCGTTACTAGCTCTGAAGTGGCGTTTCTGAATTAGTAGCGGAGACTGGGGCTCAGCTGTTAAACTGTCAAACTGAGATTTGACTCTGTGGCGGAAGGAAGTAGTTCTGCACAAAAGAGGGATTTACAACACACTGCGCTGTCGTTTCTTACGTATTTACACACTTGTGCCGTCGAACTGTTGTATAAACGCAGTATCACACGAGTAGACGTGAGATATGGCTGATTCGAGTAAGTGTGCCGATATACAGCCATATCTCACGTGTGATATTGCTTATGTATGCGTGTATACAGTATATATATAGAGAGAGAGAGAGACGTATTGTTGTTCTTTTCCTTAACAGCTTAGCTCTAAACCAGTTCAAAAACAGCTTCGTGTTCTTCAAATACGAGATATTCAGTATCATTCAGATATTAATAATAATATAGCTTCTGAAAATATTTTGAAGAAGATTTTACTTTATATTTTTTGCTTTCAAAATATGTGTAATTTTGTTATGCGTTTGTCATTTTTATTAGTTTTTAAATGTCTATATAGTTTGATTAATTTCAGTTTCAGTTGCTTTAGTACTTCACATTAAACTAAATGAAAATGAGAAATGTTGCTGAATTAAAAGTTGGTTTATATGATATTTTAGTCAACATTTATTTTTATAGTTTTAGGTTTAGTTAACTATAATATAACCCAGATGTGAACGGGTTTTCTCTGACCTAATATATGGACTATAATATACAGTATATTTGTAACGCTTAAAATATGTTTATATTCTTAAAATATATTTTCAAAAATATACTAAATATCTAGAAATATATAGTGGGTGAGCCCATATTAGAATCAGTCTGAGCACACTTCAGTAGCGCAGCGCTGGCAGTCAGATTATACATTTACTGAATAGCCCTATATATATATATATTGTGATATATAAGTAAATATATTGTCACATATTTTTCAATATATGCACTTGTCCTGTTGTGAGAGGAAGGTAAGGCTGTTACCAGAACGCGGTTTCCAGCCGCCACGATGAGCTGCGAGCCGTCGGGTCTGAAGGCCAGGTCAGAGATGCTGCGCACACACACACACACACACACACACACACACACACACACACACAGACAGACACAGACACAGACACAGACAGACACAGACACACAGACACACACACACACAGACACACGACACAGCGACACAGACAGACACACACGACACAGACACACACGACACAGACAAACACCACACAAA